TGACACAGTATTAGATGATTGTCTTTATGCTTCCAAAACGGTTATTCGTGAGGTTGAAAGAATCTGTAGTAACTTCCTCTGGTCTGTTGGACATGGGCTCAAGCTTAAAGCGAAAATGGCATGGAAATATCTGTCTATTTCGAAGAAAGAATGTGGACTGGGACTGAGGGACCTCACTACCTGGAACTATGTTTGTGTCTTTAGGCAGATTTGGGCGATAATGCTGCAACATGGCTCATTGTGGGTAGCTTGGATTTAGGCATATAAGTTGAAAGGTAGGGACTTCTAGGCTGTGAATGTGAATGGTTCCTGGAACTGGAAGAAGTTGCTGAGACTTCGAAGTAAGATCCCTAACCTATTTAGCTTGAACAATGTCTTGCTTCACTGGAATAATAATGATATGCCAAGATACTCTATAAAGTCGATCTGGGAAGTTGTTAGGCCAAAGCACAATGCAGTAAGATGATATAAGCTTCTCTGGAAGGGGACTTCTATCCCTAGAAACAGGTTTCTTGTCTGGCTTATTACTCGCAACAAGATACAAACTAAGGAAAAGATGAAAAAATGGGGATTTGCAGGTTCGGACCACTGTTTTCTCTATGATAAGCCAGATGAGACAAGGGATCACTTGTTTACTGTCTGTCCCTACTATTCTTCTATCCATCAGCTGCTGTTGGGTAAATTTAGTTCTTTCTTGCCGCAAACATGGGAGGAGAACCTTGACTGGGCTATTAAGAAGTTTGGAGCAAATTTGTCGTGCGCAATGACAGGACGGTTGATTTGGCAGTCTATAGTGAGTCATACTTGGAGGGAGCGCTGTTGTAGAGCTTTTGGTGACATCAAAAAGTCCCCTGAAGCTATGGTTTCCATGGTAAAGAGTGAAGTTAGAGTGTTGGTGCAGGACCCGAAGGAGATTGAAAGATTCTGGTCCCCTGATTCTTAGATTGTCTGGTCTCTTACCCGGGATTGTTCTGTTTTTTGGTTCTTCTTTGGTAGTTTTTACACTATTGGTTCTTATATGTAGGAGTTTTCCCCCTCACATTTGGTTTTTGTTGGTAGTTTGTTTTGCTAGTTCCTTACTTCTTCAGGTTCCATTCCCCTAGCTGGCAAGGGTGTTGCCAGCAACACTTTTTTATGAAATGAAGTATACCGATTCATAAATAAAAAAATACAAGCATTCCGGAAAAAGTTATTACGGTGTATTAACCGAACAACCTAAGCCACAAAATTTGTAAAAGAGTTGGATGGATCCCTAACAAGTAACAATGTCTACAACCCATAAGTTCGGACTTCGAGCCCAGCCCATATTTCACCCAACAATGACAGGAGCCAGTTCAGGGTACGCCGATGTTCCAGTTATGGGAGAGGTTGAAAAAACTTCGTCACTTGCTCTATGACTGGAGTAGAGCCGGAACCACCAATTCCCTGCGGAATATTCACACTCTGCAAAATGAAATTGCCAGAATTAAGGCTGTGCACCCGATCAATTGGCAAGAGGTTGCTACTCTTGAGACAGAGTTGAACAGACAATGGGAGGCAGAAGAGGTTTACTGGCAGCAAAAATCACGTGTCCGGTGGCTGAAAAGAGGTGATCAAAATACTTCCTACTTCCACACGGTCACGCGAACTCGCCGTAAGCGTAAATTTGTCTCTGGCCTGTTTAATGATGACGGGGAGTGGGTGACAGGAAAAAGCAAAGGCGGACGTTGCGACTAGGTTTTACCAATCTCTCTTCACCTCGGAGTCGCAAGTTCGGGATATGGCTGAGCGGGTGGCGGAGCTCCCCATTGCCTCCAATGTGACCCCAGAGATGAACGCTACCCTCACTGCGGAGGTCAGTCCGCAGGAGATCCGCAAAATGGTCTTTGCGATGGGTTCAAAACAGGCCCCTGGCTCCGATGGGTTCACGGGAAAGTTTTTCAAATCCTACTGGGAGATTGTTGGGGAGTCCGTGGTGGAAGCGGTTGGCTCTTTTTTTACTACGAGTAAGATGCTCCGGGGTTTCAACCACACTTGGTTGACTCTGATCCCCAAAGTAGAGCACGTAGAATCCATGCGCCAGCTTCGCCCTATTAGCTTATGCCAGTTCGTGTACAAAATAATCACTAAAATTATGGCGGAAAGGCTTGCAGGGATCTTGCCTATTATTGTCTCGGAAGGGCAGAATGCCTTCATCAGAGAAAGGCAGATCGTGGATAATATTCTCATTGGCCACGAGTTGATGCATTATTTGAAAATCAAAACCCGGGGTAAGAAAGGATACATGGCTCTGAAGGTTGACATGGAAAAGGCCTATGATAGAGTCGAATGGTCCTTTCTGTTGGCGGTGTTGGAAAAAATGGGCTTTAACTCGGTCTGGCGTGGGTGGATTCGGGAGTGTTTACAGTCCGCTTCCTTCTCGGTCCTAATGAATGGGTCCCCTTCTGGATTCTTTGCGCCTACTCGAGGGCTTCGGCAGGGGGATCCTCTGTCCCCACTTCTCTTTGTGCTTTGCACTGAGGGATTTGCTGCTTTACTCCGCAAAGCTATCACGGAAAAGAGACTAGTTGGAGTCAAGGTAGCACCTCGGGCCCCTCGCATATCTCACTTGTTCTTTGCTGATGATTCTTACTTGTTCCTCCGTGGTTCCCTTCAAGAGTGTGAGAATCTAATCGAAGTACTAAATGAGTATGAAGAATTAAGTGGCCAAAGAGTGAATTTGGAGAAATCGGCGGTGTGTTTTAGTAAGAATGTCTCCTTGCCGGATCAGGAGTTTTTGGCGGCTATCCTGGGCGTGGGTGCTGTAGGGGTGCATGACAAATATCTTGGTCTCCCTACTTTGATAGCTAGATCCAAGACTGCCACTTCCGGTACCTGGAGGAGAAATTGCTGGAACGTCTTCAAGGTTGGAAGCGGAGGACCCTCTCGTCGGCAGCTAAAGAAACTCTCATCAAATCGATTGCTCTAGCTTTGCCGCTCCATGTGATGTCCTGCTTTCGTCTACCTTTGTCTCTCTGTCGCCTCTTGGACAAGCATGTGGCTAGATTCTGGTGGGGGGCTGAGGAGGGGTGTTCCCGGGTCCGGTGGGTGTCCTGGCGGAACATGTGCAGAAGTAAGCATGAGGGAGGCATGGGGTTTCGTCGATTCGAGTTTTTTAATCAAGCTCTTTTAGCTAAGATTGGCTGGCGAATCCTTCATGAACCCCAATCCCTCTTAGCCCAGGTTTATAAGGGGAAGTATTTCCCGCAGGGATCTTTCCTTACAGCCACGGCTCGTTCCCGGCCTTCTTGGGGATGGCAAAGCATTTTGCATGGGCGCCAGTTGTTGGCTGCGGGGTCAAGGTGGCAGATTGGAAATGGGCAATCGGCCCCCTTACTTGACTCAAACTGGATTCCTCAACTACATCCTCGACCCCCGGTTTATAATCCGCGGATCCTACCTGAGGGAGGGGAAGCTAAGGTCTCTGAAATCATTTGCCCTGGGGAAGGTCGGTGGTGCGAGGATAAGGTTAAGCAGTGGTTTGATCCTCCGACTTGTCAAGCTATTCTGGCCATGCCTCTTCCACGGCGGAATATTGAGGATCGACTGATTTGGCATGCTACTGCTGATGGTCTCTTCTCTGTTAAGTCGGCCTATCACTTGGCAGTTCGTCTAGATCAGTTGAATGGGCGGTGGCGGTCGCAAGTTAGTTGGATGGACAAGGCTAGTTGGATCCGGATGTGGGATGCTAACATCCCTCCGAAGCTGAAGATATTTGCCTGGCAACTCTTTAACAGAATTCTGCCGACTACTGAGGCGTTAATTGAGAGGAAAATTGAAGTCCTACCCCGGTGTCCTGTGTGTTGGGCCCAATCGGAAACGATGGAACATCTGTTCCTTGATTGTCCGGTGGCCAGGGCTTTGTGGACTCAGTCTGGTCTGGATCATCTTGGTGAGGGCTTGCCGCGTCATACATTCCCGCTTTTCTTAAGAAAGTTGTTGGCTATCTTGCAACAACCTTCGCAGGTCATGGAAGTTATTGCTATCCTCTGGAGGATTTGGCGATCCCGGAATTGGGTGGTCTTTGAAGGGAAGCAATTTGACATCCGTGCGCTGATGCGGCAGTATCATCAGCAGGTAGGGGAATGGTTGAGTTTGCCTAAGGATCCCCGGCACCCCTCTCTGTCTCTGCCAAACACTGGTACAGTGGGTGGGGCAGGGGGGCCTGTGTGTCGATGGGATGGTGCAGTCCGATCAGGGTCTCACTCTGCGGGAGGCTTTGTGCTCCTCAGTGAGGGAGGGGAGACCCTTTGGGCGGCTGGGGTTCAGTTCCCCCTGCTGGATGATCCGATGGTGGCGGAAGTGCTTACTCTTCGTGAAGCCATTCGCTGGTGTATAACGCAGGGATTTGTGTCAATGAGGTTTGAAGGCGATGCCAAGGTGATCATTGAGAAGCTTTGTCAGGCTGATGCGCGTGATGGCCGGATTGGGGCTCTTTTGGAGGAGATTCTGCAGATTGTTAGGATTTATCCGGGTTTCATTGTACGATTTGTAGGTCGGGATAACAATAGGGTAGCTCATAGTGTAGCTAGAAAGGCCCTGTCTTTGTTCCCGTCTACTTGTCGTTATTTTGACTTTCAGGCCTGGCTGATTTCCAGGATGTAATTTTCGATCTGTTTCTATCAATATATGATTATCTTTTGTAAAAAAAAAACAACAACTAACGGGCCCAAGCAATTGCCATGAATTTGACTTTTGAATGATTTGTGAACTTGATTAGTGATTACTGATTAGCCTCATAGGCTACCACCGTCAGCTCACTTCTCTCACTCTCAACTCTCAAGCGATCAATGTCTGGTCTCTCTACCTGTACCGTCCATTACCTTCTTCCTATATTTCACTGCTCGTCTTTAATCTTATGGTGGCGCAATCAAGTCTCAAACCAAAAGTGCGATAAACCCACTTTTCAGGTCATTTTAGCCCATCATTAAGCACTAGATGCTCAGCCAGCTGTCTAAAAGCCCACCATTATGCTGTCATGAGCTCAGTTTAGGGTATTGACCTGTGGAGCCATGACTGTGTGAGTGGCAGAGTGGATTGCGGTTGCTGTTCACTTCACCCCTCTTCGAAAAAGTTTAGGAATTGGAGAAACCGAAAAAAGCAACCGAGAAAGATCGAAGCCTCTTCCCACTTTAGCTCTCTTTCTCCACACCGGCAAGCAATTCGTCGGTGTTCCCAATTCATCTCTTCTCGTGCTCTGCCAACCCGTTTCTTCTTCGTCTCCAACAATGGATCCCCATCTCCTTCTCTTCCTTCTTCTCTCAACATCTTCCCTCTCAGGTTCTCCCTTTCCCAATACCCCAAATTTCGTCCCCACTTTAGTTCCCTTTCTCGAGCACCTTCTAAATCCTCCAATTTGTGTCTTTTGTTGTTGCAGGAATTGAGTCGGCGGCTACTTTCAAGCTCACAAACCTCTGCCGCCAAACAATCTGGCCGGGGCTGCTCTCCGGCGCCAACACCGCCCAGCTCCCCACCACCGGCTTCGCCCTCCGCCCGGGGAAATCCCGAGCAATTTCCATCCCCTCCGGCTGGTCCGGCCGCATATGGGGCCGGACCCTCTGCGGGACCGCCGACGGCAAATTCTCCTGCCTCACGGCCGATTGCGGCTCCGGGAAGGTCGAGTGCGGCGGGAGCGGGGCCAAGCCGCCGGCGACCCTCGTCGAGTTCACCCTCAACGGCGCCGACGGGCTGGACTTCTACGACGTCAGCTTGGTCGACGGCTACAACCTCCCGATGCTGGTTTTCCCGCAGAAGGTAACCCGCGGGGGCTGCGGCGCCACCGGGTGCTTGATTGACCTCAACGGCGCGTGCCCCAAGGAGCTGAAGGTGGTGGCGCGTGATAAGGGCAGGGTTGGCGGTGTCGCGTGTAGGAGCGCGTGTGAGGCGTTTGGGGATCCCAGGTTTTGCTGCGCTGATGCCTACGCCACGCCGGAGACTTGCTCGCCGTCGGTGTATTCCCTGTTTTTCAAGCACGCTTGCCCTCGGTCGTATAGCTACGCGTATGACGACAAGACCAGTACGTATACGTGTGCCAATACGGACTACACCATCGTATTCTGCCCGCGGCCGTACACCAGGTAAGAAATTTGATGTGCTGATTAGCAATAACTGCGCGCCATTAGATCAGTAACCTTTGACTGAGTACTTAAACATTGATGGATGTTCTGATAATTCTGCCTGTTACCTGTTGTTTTGCTGCATAAGATTGAACATTCAATACTTGGAGAAGTAGGTTACTTTCATTTCCATTCCTAGCTAAGTGATACAGAACCAGACTTCACATGCTAATATTGCTATGGATCGGTATTATTAGTGCCAAGAACAGGTGTAATGGTGAATGTAGTGGTGATAGGATATTAAGGATTGTGTGTGGCCTTGTTGGCTGTGTAGGAAGGTTTCCCCTGGCTCGTTGCAGGAGTGTCAGTGGTCGCGTCTTGACATGGTTGTGATATGAGAAGGAAGCAAGCATCGAAATCGTTCATGAAAGTGTGGCGTTCTTACTTAGGCTCCCAGGGTTGAACTGGGGAAATATGAATATTTTCTGTGTCGGGGAGGATTGATGCAGGCAGCACTTAGCTTCTTCATGTAGGGGTGGTTATGGTTTTTCGATTCACTTGCTAATTGCAATTGGCTAATTGCTTGTTCTCCGGCGTTATGTTTTGCAGCCAGGAAGTTCTGGGAAGAAGGAAAGATGGGGCATCCCTGCCACTGGTTAACAAGACGTCCATGTACTGGCCAAGCAGACATCCCAATGGTGCTTTCTCTTCAGGTCTGTTTGCGAACTCGCGCCCCCCCTGCATCGCTTTATACTCTGTTTCTGCCTCTCTTACATTACTAACATAAGCCAATATGCTTGACACTTCCAGTGAGATAGCAGTGTAGACGAGGTGCAGCAGCTGACGAGAGTATAGAAGTACGACAACCACGTTCCAACGATCTGCTGCGATCCTGGCTGATACTCCCTGAGCATGACGTAGGTTATGTAAACAGACATGAAGTGAGGAGGCGATCGAAGAGCAGCACGCCAACCCAAATTCCACGACGAAATTCTGTGCAATTCCATACGCCTTAACTAACTACGATACACCAACTTTCAGCACTCATTAACAGTGAAGGAAGGAGACAGGGGATACAACTGGGTTTCATACTTTCAGTTCAATCCCTACTGTTCAGTTTATTCTGAATGCCAATGTATTCTCTAATTGCTTCATCATTGGACTTGGCATAACTGTTGTGAGTTTTCTTGTTGAAGTCATGTTTGGAAAACCATACAATCACTGAATCACCGAAGCATTGGAAGCAAAAATCCACTCTAAATTTCCGGATATCCGCAGATAATCTCTGTACATTCCATAAAAATTCTATGCATAGTTTGACAATGTGACTATTAAGATTTAAGACCAGCCACAGGCAGTAGGGTGGGCGTTCAGTCGGTTCGGTTTCGACCGAACCGAAATTACGCATACTGGGTTCTTGAATTTCATCAAATTTCAAACAAAATTATAATTTGGTTCGATCAATTGGTTCGGAATTTCACACAAAATCGAATTCGTGAGAATACTTGTATCCTCTCCATTTTAAATTATTTTTCAGCTCTAATGTAAACAATAAATATAATTGCACTTAAGCATAAAACACTAACATGATTCAAATATTTAAGTCTCAAAACAAATACCAACATAAAAACCCATCATTTGGAGCTTACAATTATAGTAATTCGATTTTTCGGTCAGAAATTTGGAATTTCGATTCGGTTAAAAGAACCTTAATTTCTCAAATATCCATATTTCCCTTCCGAATTTCGAACCAAATAACATCATTTCGGTTTTGATTCAGTTTAATTCGATTTCGATTCGAGTTTACCGAACCGGTTGCCCACCCCTAACCTGCTTGGCTAATGGGCTGGACTGGACATCTTTCTTCCCCGAAGATAACCGGCGGTTCGATCTGGTTTGTCAGTTCAGCTCCTTGAAAACGCAGCGTTTAGTTAAGTAAGCTAGGAAAAAGAAATCTTGGTTCTGGATCTTCTTCTTCCCAATCACGTTCCATCCCCCGCAACCTACCATACTTCCTCACCTCTCTCGTCGCCAGTTCCCCAGCCACCACAGCCGCGCTCACGACGACCAGACTTTCACGGCAAGGCTCACGGAGGAGCTGCTGGCCGATTTTCCCTCCGGTTAGATTCAGGCGCGCAGTAGGCTGGTACCCTTTTGGGGCCTTCTCCCGTCGATTGCTCGTCGATTTCCGCATGACAGGTTGGAGTTCTGCATCTTTGTGTTGATTCAGATTTCCCCCCCAAGATTAAGGCGTTCTGAATTTTCAGTTTTTGATTGATTTCTGAGGGATCTCGGTAGGCTTCTATCGAGAATTCGCAAGGAGTAGTTAGTTTAGTTGTAAGTTGTTGTACCAGGCAGGCTATGCAATTGGAGTGTGTTGTGTAGCTTAAGTTGATGTGAATTATGAGTTAGCCTTTATAGAGACCAGATTTCAGTTTCAGCTTCCAATAACTTCCTGTTTCGGAAGTGATGCTAAACTTGTCTTTGGGTTTTCCTGACTTCCAATATTCTTCCTTTTATTTCACGTCTTCTCGGTTTGGCATTTTGATCTCCTCGAATTGGCTGTTTCTTTCTACAGATTTGGTTGAGTAACCCTTCTTGGTCTATTCAAGCTCCAGTCTTTCTCCATCCCCGGAACGGTAATTTCTCTTTAATTCCATCTTGATGATTTTGTACCACCAGCTTATGTGGAAGTTAGAACCCCATTCAGCTTCAGAATATGCACTTCCATCGAGTTGAAGGCACTCGTTAATCTCATTTTTTCGATTGAGTTGTTTGATTTTGGCCTTGTGGCCGGGCCAGCATTTATGATTCGTTGTTGTTTTCATTTGGTACTTGTAGTGGTGGAACAGTGAATCTGCACAAAGACTTGCACTGCCTGAAATCTGCAATGCTAGCAAAGGGCACATTTTCCTCGCCCAGTTCAACACTGCTTCCCCTTAGTATACCACGCGGTTCATCACGTTCGGATTCTTTAACATGTTGGCTACAGAGGAAGCAGCAGAGAAAGATCATTTGCGCTTGTGTGGCGCCTCCTCTAAATATAGGCAGCGACGGAATTCCAGAAACTGCAAACAAAGTAAAATCTTTGACACTAACCTGATGTCTAGAATTTTCGAAGTGAGTTTAAAGTTGTTGGGTTCGTTTCTTTGGCAGGAGAGTGTCTAATATCCTGCTTTAGTTAAGATGATTTTTGAAGTTCTCGTTTCCTTGTGCTTTTCATCGTTATTGGAGACTTACATCTCAGATCCATGTTAAATTTGGCTTGTTGGGTGAAGTGTTTATACCCTTCGATCATCCTTGGTAGGGAGATATTGCTGAACTTCTAGGAACTTAATTTACCTAAATTATCTCCATAACCCCTCCCCGCCATTTTCATACTTTTCTAATGGGGATTTGTCTCAATATTGAATCAGCATATAAACAAATCAGAGAAATCGGAGACATTGCACCCAATATCGGAGCCAGAAGATGATTCTGACGTCCTTATTGAATGTAAAGATGTGTACAAGTCATTTGGTGAGAAGCATATATTACGAGGTGTGAGCTTCAAGGTGAATCTTTTCTGTAGTTAGTTTGGTATTGGATTGCTAATTCCATGAATAATACAGTCTATTGATCAAGGGGTTACAATGTTCTTTTCCATGCATGTGTGCCTTTTGAAGTACCATTCAAGTTCGCTTATGCCAATATGTTAATATTACTGTTGTGTTTCCTTTTCTTCCTGGAATTTTACTATAGATCAGACATGGTGAGGCAGTTGGAATAATTGGACCTTCGGGCACTGGCAAATCTACAATTTTGAAAATAATGGCTGGACTTCTTGCTCCAGACAAGGTTGGAATCATGCGTAATGTTCCAATCTCGACCTAGTTATGGTCTGTAGCTTGTTTGCATTGATTTTTTCTTGGCTACATTTATGTTTATTTAAATGGTTGGAAGAGCAGGGTGAGGTTTACATTCGAGGTAGGAAACGAGATGGGTTAATTAGCGACAACGAGATCACTGGCTTGCGAATTGGATTGGTGAGTTAGTCTCATTTTGTAGATGATATTCAAATATATATACATTGCCATTGACCTTCTCATAGTGGTTTTACTTCCAAACATAGGTGTTCCAAAGTGCAGCGCTGTTTGATTCTTTAACAGTTCGTGAAAATGTCGGTTTCCTGCTGTAAGAGAATCTGATTTTCCCTGTTTAGCTGCAGAAGTTGGCACTCTTTTACTACCTTTTTTGCCCTTCTCTCTATTCAAATGCATGCTAGAATTGCTTGGTGTTTTCTGCTTTTCAGGTACGAAAATTCTACAATGCCAGAGGAGCAAATCTCGGAGCTTGTGACAGAAACCTTGGCTGCCGTTGGTTTAAAGGTATGCTATGTATTCAATACAGCTGTTTCCTAACATTCTTTACTTCTCTCAGTTTGTGTGCTAATCTCCTCATTTCCATAAGTTAGAGAATGGCCGTCATGTTTTTGCAGTATTATTGCCATGTAATGTAGATAGATTATGTTAGAAACCGATTTCTTTAGGGTTTCTATATTTATGGTTATAATTATTATTAGGATATTTCTTATTATGGTTAGTAGTCTTCTAGTAGAATTAGGTTTATTCTTAGGGTTTTCTAGTATTTCCCTATATATATGTACTTTGGGTCATTCGTCATATTAAGCAGAAATTAATAGAAAAGTCATCCTTTCCCAAAACCCTAATCTCTTTCTCTCTCAAATCTCGTCTATCCTCCTCTCTAGAGGCCTCGGCCGTTCTTTCTGTTCTTCCCCAATTCTGTTCCTAATCCCTAATTCTCTTCTCAATCCCTAAATCTCTACCAATTCCCAATTTCCCGACACAATCGTTGGAACCCTAAAAATAGGTTTCCTACATCTGGTATCAGAGCCCGGTTTCGAGAATTGAGTTTTTCACAACTCTCAACCGGGGACGAGTTCTACAACTGGTTCGACGATGAGCTCTTCAAGGCTCTCGGACATGTCGTGGGCAGAACTGCGTGAACGGGCTCGGCGCATCGGTCGTCGTTGGAGCTCCGAGGAGCTGCCGACCGGGGATGCTTCCATAGGAGAAGAGCAACCGCCGGTTGTGCAGGTTGACTCACACGGTGACATTGAGATGCGAGCAGAGCAACCGTACGTGGAGGCGAAGAACGAGCGCCAAGTCAGAATGGAACAACCGGGTGAGGTCGCGTTGCTACCTACGTCGCGGGAGAAGGATGAGTCGGTCGATGCCGTGGCGGCGACGACCGAAGCATCGCGGCTGAACGAGCACGATGGGGCATCTGCAGAGGAGGAGCCGCCGGTCGAAGCGCCGACGAACGAGGCGAAGAAGCCTTCGTCGGAGAGGGATGAGGAGGTAGGCGCCAGTGAGCTTCTTCTTCTTATCACATCGTTTGAGGGGCGAGGGTTGGATGGCCCATGTATGGGCGTGACCATTTGCAACAAGGCTTCCAAAGCCAAGTCACGTGGAGGAGGTATACAGGAGGAAAGGGGATTATGTGAGCTTTTGATGGTGGATGGTTGTTTGTGGAGGAGGATGGCAGAAGGGAAAGGACGAGAGAGATGTGGCAACTTGCGAGACCTCCTTGCACCCAATCTCATCGCCTCGGCGGAAAGACTTCGAGCTGCAATACGAGAGCATATGCGAACAACAGAGGCAACGGTGGGGTCGACTGCGAGAGTTGTTTGTGCCAAGAGTATTGTTCGAGTGCTTGATCGGAATTGGAAGAGGAGGAAGCGAAAGAAAATGATGCAACTACGTCGAGGGATCGCAATGGAAGTGTGGAACGTCCGCGTAGCTAACTGCAACCTTGAGGACAAGGTTGGTTTGAAGAGGGAGGAGATGTTAGAAACCGATTTCTTTAGGGTTTCTATATTTATGGTTATAATTATTATTAGGATATTTCTTATTATGGTTAGTAGTCTTCTAGTAGAATTAGGTTTATTCTTAGGGTTTTCTAGTATTTCCCTATATATATGTACTTTGGGTCATTCGTCATATTAAGCAGAAATTAATAGAAAAGTCATCCTTTCCCAAAACCCTAATCTCTTTCTCTCTCAAATCTCGTCTATCCTCCTCTCTAGAGGCCTCGGCCGTTCTTTCTGTTCTTCCCCAATTCTGTTCCTAATCCCTAATTCTCTTCTCAATCCCTAAATCTCTACCAATTCCCAATTTCCCGACACAATCGTTGGAACCCTAAAAATAGGTTTCCTACAGATTACTTTGAAACTTCCCGTCCATGCTTCTTTACTAATCCTATTCTATCAATTTCGTCTGCTCCCATACCTAAAATGTCTGTCCAGGGAGTTGAGGAGCGGCTGCCTTCTGAGCTATCTGGCGGAATGAAAAAAAGAGTTGCTTTAGCTCGATCTATAGTTTTTGACGCCACCAAGGCCACCATTGAGCCAGAGGTACATCCATTAAGATGGCCATTATGCCAACTAGTTTTTGAATGTTCATACTTCAAGTCATCATTTTTGTGACAAATGAGCATGCTTGATTCTCTTGTGGTACCAGTGATTAGAGCGTTAATGTGATCTTTGAATAGGTGGTTTTGTATGATGAACCAACAGCTGGACTTGATCCGATTGCGTCAACTGTGGTAGAAGATCTCATTCGCTCTGTCCATATGACGGGGGAGGACACAGTCGGCAAACCTGGCAAGATTGCTTCCTATGTTGTGGTTACTCATCAACACAGTACCATTAGAAGGGCTGTCGACAGGTTAACCTGGGATTATAGACTAATGTGTATATATTGCCCAAAGTAGGAGGAGAATTATGCTTTTCTGTCTTGTCTCACAACAACGTTCTTATACATGCAGGTTACTGTTTCTTCATAACGGGAAGGTCGTGTGGCAAGGAATGACTCATGAATTCACTACATCAACCAATCCTATTGTTCAGCAGGTACATAACAAGTACTGAAAGTTAACCATCTGTCGATAAAAAATGTACATAGTAGCCCCGCTAAGGTTATTTGATATCCCTTTTCATCTGTGTGTGTTCCAGTTTGCATCAGGCAGCCTTGATGGTCCGATTAAGTATTAGAGGACACCATCTTTGTTTGAGCTGATGGCTCCTATAGTCTTATCAATAACAGAAAATAGGTGCTGACGATGGTACGATTCCTAGTCGTTTGTATCCTTCCTCCCGGATCTGGACTCATTGTGGACGGAACATCTTAGTACCAAGAGTATCTCTTAGATCAGCTGTACAAGGTTCGTTGAGTTTTGCTGGTTGCCATTTTTGTGCAGTATGTGGGAAGGAAGAATGGTGGTAGTTTGCAGGTTTGATGCTATTATTGTTGCTAATTCTTGTTTACTAAATTGAACGAAAAACGAGCCCATTTCATGTTTAGGCCTTGTGCCTTTCTGGAAGGGGACTGCATTTCGAAATGCCAGGTCGTTTGGTTCCTCTTTGTAAACTTTGTTGTATAAGGTTGATTGCCCGCCTTTCTCGATCAATCAATAAAGCTTCTACGCGATGGAATCTTTTTTTTTCTTTCTGTACCACATTTCGAAACATGGCTTCGAATGAGAGTAGAGTGTGATTGTTAAACACCTGACAAGTGAACTGCTTGTAACACTTTCGATTTCTGAAATGAAGAAGATTTTCATTGTGCAGAAAAAGAAGAAGCAACAACACTTTGCATACATAATTACATACTACTCAGCGATTGCATCAAACATTACATCAAGCCATTGCTATGGCTACATAATACATACAAACCATAAGCTAGTTTTACAACATCCAATTAGCAGACTGCAATTTACTTGCAAACACAGCATGAACCATTTGTGTGGAAGATGTACCTTCTGGTTTTCGCCGAACAGAACAGAACCATAAGACTAGAATAGCAACTAACTACAGCACTCAAGCAGAAAACCCATGCCAATATCGGCCCTTCATCATTCGTTCCACGAAACGACCTTCCGGGAATTGCCAGCTGGCTCGCACCATCATCACATCCTTCCTCCTCCAAGCACAAATGTGGGTTCCCAGCAAATGCTCCCGGGAACCCTTGTAACTCTCATTCTTTGGTACGGACCCAGAAAAACTGTTGAACGACAAGTTCAAAACTGCTAGGTCACGAAGACTCGAAATGTTCGGTGGAATCTCCCCAGAAAGAGCATTGTGCGACAGATCGAGAGCTCTCAAACTCCACATCTTCTCCAGATTTGGGATCTCACCGTTGAGAGAGTTGTAGGATAAGTTCAGGTACTCCAAACCTTGTAGTGCAAACATGGTGTCTGGAATCTCACCACGTAGCAAGTTATCAGATAGATCAATAACAACTGTTGACGGTAGTTGGTATTTGAATGTTAACTCGTTGATGCCAACAACCGCAACAGATATCTGTATCTCAGGTGATTCCATTGGAAGTCTCGTCCCATTGTAGCTTGCATTGTTGAAATCGAAGCTCACGTTCAGGTTACCATCTGGGATAAAGCCGGAGAATTTGTTCCCCGACAAGTCCATTATTTGGATTGCTTGAAAAGAGAACAACCAACTAGGTAGATTTCCGGTGAACTTGTTCCGAGCAAGCGAGATATACTTGAGATTCAGCCATTTGGTAATTGCATCGTTGATACTGCCCGAGAGATTGTTGGAACTGAAATCCACAACCTCAAGGGACTTGCAGCCGGCTAAAGTCAAAGGAATCTCACCTGAGATCCAGTTGTTGCTTATATCAAGTATCTTCAAGCTGTCCAATGCATCTAGCTCAGGCTGAATCTCACCAGAGAGATTGTTGTTGTTAAGCACCAGGGCCAGCAGTTGAAAACACCCAACAATCGTCAAAGGTATTGAACCCGACAATGTGTTGTGCGAGAGATCTATCACTTGGAGGTAGGTCAAATTTCCAACCCTTGCAGGGATTTCACCAGTAAGCAAATTGTGAGAAAGAAACAAAGCTTGCAAGCTTTTCAGCTCCGTCATCTTTAATGGGACAGAGCCAGAGAAACGGTTGTGAGATAGGTCGAGAAGAACAAGCCCTGATTTATCCGTCATTGCAGCAATCTTAGCTGGAAGTGGACCGAAGAGATCGTTGAAGCTCAAGTCCAGCACAAGAAGCTTCTCAGAGAAAATGAGTCTAGGGGATATAGCATAGTTCAAATGGTTAAGTGATAAATTGAGATGAGTCAATTCCGCCAGTGAAGCAATGCACGTAGGAATCCCTCCAACAATGGAATTGTTAGCCAAATTTAGAACCTTGAGGGAATGAGCAGCAGCAGAGTAACATGGTAAAGTACCCGAAAAAGAATTAGACCCGAGATTGAGGAACATCAAAGGCTGAGAGAACTCAGCAATGGTACCTGATAAATGATTGCTTTCAAAATCCAAGTACTTCAGCGACCTGGACTGAAACAAGCTATCAGGCATTTGGCCGTGGAATGAACTGAAACCCAAGTCCAGTTTTTCCAATCTGGTTGAGAAATTGCCAAGCCAAGATGGAATAGCACCACCTAGATCCCGATTCCCACGCAGTATTAGTTCTCTCAGCTGACCAAGCCTCATCAGACTATCAGGCAAAACACCATGGAATTTGTTGTGGCTCAGGTCAAGGGTTCTGAGGTTCTTCAACCAACCAAAGCATGCTGGGACTTGACCAAAAAAGCTGTTCCTCGAAAGAATCAAGGACTCGAGATCGACAAGCTTGCACATGCTAGGATGAATTCGACCTGAAAGATTCATGGTGGTGAAATCAATTGAGATAACTCGGCCTGTGTGGTTGTAGCATCCAATCCCCGTCCAATTCGTGCAGTTGGAGCCAACCCAGCTTGACATTGAGTGGTTTGGGTCATCATCAATCCACGAGCGAATCAGTAACAGGGAAGCCTTGTCTTGTGGGTTGAGATCAACAGATAGACATGGCCATGAACACAGCATGCACAATACCAGCCACGGCAGCAGATTCACTTTCAGGGTCTTAAAGAGGAAACAAGCTGAAACCCATTTCACTTCCATGGCCGTACAACATCCAACTTATCAGCCTCTGCGTCAAATGGCAGCTAAATTGAGCAACTACTGTGAATTGGGATACCAGAGAGAAATACCACTGAGTTTCGGCTGATAGCCCGAGTTTTTCAGCGCCCACCCTGTGTCGTTTCACTCGCATTCTCCAGTCGCCAATCTGTAGCTATCGGCGAAAGTAAGGTTGCGTGGTGATTTGCGTCGCCACCGCAGAAACTGTCCGGGGGAATTCCTCAAGCCCGACGGCCGATTCTCTCAGCAGCAGTCAGCAGTTAAGCTATAGGCGTCGTCTCGTTCTCCGACGCTTTTACTCCAGCGGCGATCATCTCAACTCACTTTACCAATTTACCCGCTCATTTATATGGGCCTTCACAAAAACGAGTTACTCCGGGCTGAAGAGTTTGGGCCTCCGCATGCAAGCCGTATCCATTAGTGAATGATTAGGCCCATAAATGAAAATGGGCCGAAAGAAAAATGGGCCAACTTTGTCATGCTATTTGGGTGCCATACCCAACGCCAACGCCAAGTTTCTTCACCGGCCTTCAATTCTTCATGCTTTATTTGTGATGCCAGCCATGGCGATTCTCGTATCAGCTCTACTGTATATAAATAGATGTTTGTTATTTCGTATTTTTTGCAAGAGAGAAAATGTAAGGAAAGGTATGATCAAGAGGAACCCTATGCAGCTAGTAAATGTTATATTTCAATAATTCCTTTTACCCTACTCGCTCTCTCAACTCCACTACTAGTTTGCGAGGATTTCAGAGGATCGAATGGGGCGATAGGAGGTCTACTTATAATGGTTTTTGTCATGCCAAGTGGTCGGAGGCATGTTGTTGGTGCAGACATCACGCGTCGAGCCTATAGTTACTATATATATGTCAAGAGTCGAAAGATGTGCCAGACATCATGCCGCAAAACAGAACAAAATTGAAGTGCTAGTCAATCTGGTCCGGGTTCTTCATCAATGCTATTTATTAATGGATATAAAAATGTACCTTATTGGTCAGAAAGATTAGCGTATTGACAATGTAGTCAAGGAAGATTAAGTTGTTGCTAGACTATATTTAATTATTTCTAGTCCATTTTTCCAATTTGTTGGGCTCCATGATGATGTGTGTGAGTGTGATTTGTGATTGTGTGTAATGAAAACTGTCACTTGAGCTCAGTATGAGTACTAATGTTACTTGCTTAAAACTGCTTAAAACTGATCATGTGCGATTTGACCTACCAGTTGCATTTTTTTTACTTTGATATGCAAAACCGTTGGATTAAATTATTAGTATATAGTGAATGATTTCATTACTCATACATAATTGGGTATTACTACAATTCGCTGGAAACAAAAAACTTAAACATTGATTTAGCCGTGGTTCAACCATTTTCTACTGCTAAAATCGTCAATCGATTTGGAATCGTTATCCAGTATTTTCGGTCGACACTTGTATGGTTTTAAAACATTAAATAATGAAAGACTAGAAGACAAATTGGTGGAAGGGAATAAAAAGAGACATGGGATAGGATTAACAGAAGAAAAAAAAAGGGAACAAATTGGAATGAATTCCAAAATGAAAATAATAGAGATGCAGTAGGGCCAAATTAGCAAGAGTAGCAGTTAAAACAGAAGATTCTTTCTGTCTCTCTGTCTTGTCAGAGAGATACGGCGTCGTTTCTCGTCAGTGAGCAAATTCCAAAACGGCGTAGTATCCTATCAGCACCGGCAACGACACGATCATCCCAAATATCACCCTGCATCCCAATCAAACATGCATGATCCAATCAACTAATTAGCCTCCTGATTACATGCATTTATGCATGGTAATTAATTAAAAAACAATTAAGTCAAAGTACTTACGCTGTGCTTAGGACCTCCGCGTGGAGGCCGTACTCCTTGGCGAAGATGAACGACGTGATCGACTGCGGCAGCGCCGCCTGGATGATGGCGACGCGCAGGACGTCGCCGTGGAGGCCGACGACGATGGATGCGATGGCCATGGCGGTGGGGCCGGCGACGAAGCGGAGGACCATTCCGACGACGGTGAGGGTGGGTCCGCAGGCGATCAGCTTCTCCTGCATAGCCATGAAGATCCCTGCGCATCGTTTCGTTCCATTAGTGAAAAAAAAGGGGAAAGCACGTTACGTAAAAAAGAAGCAAAGCTTTTTTTGTGCTGACGTACCCATGCTGAACATGGCGGTGCCGGTTCCGGCTTTGGCCATGATGGAGACTGATCCATCAACTATGCTCGGCATCTCGATATGCCACCTGGAAGCGTAATAAATGGCCCATTATTATTATTATTATTATTATTATTATTATTATTATTATTATTATTCCATCAAAACAATTAGCATAAAAACTTTAATCGTTTCATGGCTACGTAATGCCTTTTGTTTCGTTTTTATTAAATTCGTGATGTGATTAGCTACGTGACAAAACCCAATGAGGGGGAAAAAAGGAATGAGAATATGTTAATGTGTGTGCCATTTGATGTAAAGTTTTATTTATTTATTTATATAATTATGAGCGTAATATAAGTTTATTTTTACAGAGTCAGGTGTTTTGGATATGATATAATTTTATTATGCGTTTGATAAATTTATATTTGATAAAATATATAAATAAGTAATATAATTAAGGTGATACTATTGTAAGGGCGGTTTGGATGAATTAGTTGTCAATGTGAGTATTTTTAGAGTTAAATAATTTATTAATTTTTTTTACCGAGTCAGGTGTTGATAAATTTATATTTGAGAAAATATATAAATAAGCAATACAATTCAGGTGATGGTGTCGTGAGAGGGTGGTTTCAGGGTTTGTATGAACTAGTTTTCAATGCGGTATTTGTAAGGCTAAATAACTCATTATATTTTTTTACGTGGTATTTCAATAATAATTCTGTTGTAATTTTGTTTCGCAACGGAACCTATGCAGTTAAAAGTACGCTTTCGTTGTTTAAAAAAAAAGTTACACTTTTATTTAGAAGTGTTTTGGTGATCTAGAAGAGTATAAAAAAAAACGTAAACTTTTAACCTTTTTACGTAAAGTAAGAAAACCTTTTAAGCATGTAAAATGCGATTTTGACTACATTAGACCGACCCATTAACATGTGATATTTGACAATAACAAAAGAATAAAACCAGTTATTTCCGAACAATAAACCGTTGTCAAACGAGTCATTTCGACCCAATAAAATACTTCTGGCCAAAATAATTAACCTTATAAACCTCGCTTAGGTAAACGATCCAACATACCTGTTAGACACAAAGGCCCAAGCAAGCCCGATAATACACGCATAAGAATTCGGGTTCGACGCCAGCTTCACCCACACCACCTTCATCAACCCCCAAAACGGCATCCGCCCCACCACCACCGCCACCACCTCCTCCTCGCCGGCCACACCACCACCATCAACACTCCCCCCGCCGCCTTCCAAATCCTTCCCACCTTTCGCCGGAACAACCACCACACCACCACAATCAAGCCCCGTCCGCCTAAACTCCAACACGAACAACAACAACGTGAGCCAAACAATGGCCTGGACCACCGAACCCTGGACCACAATATCCACCCCGACGGGCCCGTACATGGCCCGCATGAGCGGGACCCCGACCACCAGCGAGTTGGTCAGGGTGGAGAGCGAGTAGCTGGTGATGGACCAGCTGTAGCGGCTGCTGGTTCCGTCCTCCTCCTCCTTGGGCCTGGACCTGGCCCACAGGCCCAGAACCAAGACGATGATGAGCTTGGACACGGCGTCGGCCGCCACGAAGCGGTAGTTCATGTGGAACGGGTCGATGTGGGCGGTGAACTCGAAGGCGAAGAGCGGGAGGGTGAAGTAGCAGACGAGGCGGTTGATGGCGCCGCACTGCTCCGTGGTGAACACGCGCCACCACCGGACCGAGCCGTAGCCGAGGACTAGGGCCACGTAGAGCGGGACCATGGCGACGATCACTTTGTACACGTCGTCCCACCCTATCATTTTTTTTTTGTTTGTGAATTTATAATGGTGATTAGGAATGGAGGATTTGAATGGGGAGATGGGAGTGTATTTATAATGGTGATGGAACGAACACTAACTATTCACTACGCCATGCAAAAACAAGGTGCGTTGGTTTCTTTTGCATAATGTTGTTGTTGGTATGGTGACGGGGGGAGAGGGATTTGGTGGAACTATTACGTGGGAATTATATTCCATTATTCTTGATGGCAGTGGCGTAGCCGGACATCGAGTCCACTGGGGTCCTTAAAATTTTACTAACATAAATGCTTGTGTACCTAATGAATTTTGAGTTAATCGGGGTCCTTGGTGAGCTAACATCGTTGAGAGTATGGGGTTCTAAACTTGAATTATCGTACTAAAACCTATGTATTTAAAGGGTTTTGTTGCCCAATTATTTGCCAAGTGGGGTCATAGGACCCTTCTCCTCCTTACCTCCCTCCGCCACTACTTGATGGATGGAGTAGTGATGAAATTTTCACTTGAAGAGGTGGTATTAGATTAGTTTGTGGTGGTTATCAGATTCGAACAGAAAATCTCTCGGTCGCAGAAGGCTTTGATATTATGTAGGGGTGTCCATTCGGGTTCGGGTTTACCCGAAACCAACCCGATTATATACATTTTCGGTTTTTTGGGTTCGGGTTCATTTCGGGGTTTTCGGTTTCGGGTTCGGTTTTGCTTATCGGTTTTTTCGGGTTCCGGTTGAAAACCTCCAATGAATAGAACTCGGCCTGTATTCTTAGGCATTCGGGTTTTCGGGTTTCGGTTTTGCTTTAACAGAACCCGAACCCGATAAGGAATTTTCGGGTTTCGAGTAACCGGAACCCGCAAGTCCTTATCGGGTTCGGGTTTGGTTTCAGTGATTTTTCGGTTTCGGGTTTTTTCGGGTTTCGGTTCGGGTAACCGAACCCGACCCGAACTGACACCCCTAATATCATGTTAAGAACCGCGGTTGCTGCGAATACCTCGAGTTGTTGGGAGATGTGCAATTATCGATCGTACACCACTTACTAACATCGTGTTAGGGTCGTTGGTCGGTCTAGTAACATGGTTGTCCATTCGGTGTGACGAAAAAAAGAGAATTTCCTTGTAACCTAGTTTAGTGGGTTGGGTTTGATAATACAGCTTGGTTTTCAATAGTTGAATTGAGCTCCTTGATCTTATTTTTACTCGTTAACCCGAGTTGTCTAATGGGGGGGAGAAGATTATAATTTGTGGTGCATATGTAGAAGAGATTTAGGGGTGTTGGATGGATATGGTGACTATATATTCCTTCCAAGTTCCAAACGTAGCTTCAATTAGCTAGCAACCTCAGATGATGATAGCTTTGAGTGATCATCTTTTTTACTTTATGTCAATCAACAAGGTTGTCCACATTTTCCTTGACAAAGGGTTGCAAAATCTTGCTTCAGATTTTATTGCAAGATTTACAGTGAACCAGGTTCTCACTCCAACAAAGTGTTAAACGACTTTGCAAAGAGCGCGATTTCTTGTAGTGTTACTTACTCTACGAAATCAATTCGTCGGCAAAAGAAAAGAACCCTTTATTCGAGACGAAAAGTTTCTGCAAATAGTTTAAAGAACACTTTATAGTTTGTTCTCATTCAATATTATTGTCACTACTATTGGTTTTGGTTCTGGTACGGTCAGCAACGAGCAATGGGCGGGAGACTAGACCATAGAAATTTAGAATATTAATGGAATGAGGTCTCCAGCGTTTATTCCACAAACACATTCCTCTCTCAATGTGGGTTTCTATTTCATTTCATGTCGCACTTTGTTTATTATTCTTACACATTTGTGGCCATGAAGTGGAGCTTTCACCTAATAGCTGCGGGCATATATATACACACTCAGATTATATATGCAATTCCATGATATATAATAATTAGCAGATTATATTTATAATAATTAAAGCTAGCTTGCTTAATTGCTAGGTAGTTGGTTATTTGTAAGCAAGCATATATATCATCCCAATGTCATCAGTTTACATAAAGTTGTAGGATCTGGAAATTAAGAAAATTTGTAAATGTCTAATGTCAGGAGAGATCATAGATTCATATAATTAAACAAGTTCGTCGTGTAATGCAGGGTTAAATGACTTTCAAAGGACAACTCAATCTATAATACAAAGAAACTGGATACAAACTTGAGATGTTAGACCTAACATTGTCAAACGAACCACATCGAGAGGCATGTCACAATAGTGAAGTGGCATGAGGCACCCATGTGGGTGCAAGGGTGGATATATAGGCATAAAAATTAAAAAGACTATCAGCAAGACTGATACTACAAGAAATCAGTGTTTTAGCGACGGTTATTCTGACCTCTAGTGATGGTCCCAACCGTCGCACAAACATTTATGGACGGCCAACTGAGCATCGTTGATCCGCTGTCCTTAACTTATGAAATGATAATGTTCAATGAACTTCTCTTTGAGGATGGTGTAATTGGAATCAGCACAGTCTAGCTGATTTAATGAGCCTTTCGCACTTTTCCAATCTCAACTTGTTCACACTTACACACATGTTTTGCTTAATCTTCGAGACAATCATATGACTATTGACAGAATCAACAGGTGATAGCATTCTCTCTTTCGACGCTCCAACTCCAACTTACCTATATATATCCGACTAATGTGATGAGATGAACCAAAAAGCCAAGCCACGCCGCCCAACTGCGTGATAACCTGGCTGGTCGAGTAAGACAATACATCAAAGATCGTGAAAATCGAAGTCCGTTAAAAAACGTGTAATAACGATTTACCAGACTAATCAACGAGAGTCTCGAAAATAAATGGTGCTTATTAAGCGTGCAACCAACACTCGACCGTTGGGGTCTTTAGAAAAGCACCAACTCAAGACTCACTATCGCAGCCTGCTAGGGCACTAGCTAGCCAACCAAGTGTCATCAAGCAAGGCAAAGACACCGAAAACCGCCATCCCCACCACGTAATTAAGCCACGCCAAGTTTTGATCAGAAGGCCCAAAACTTCTTCCACTCTGCACCACGACTAGGGTTGCCACTCAACTATTATATACTAATTTCTTCATCATTTGCAGGTCGAAACAGAATGAAAACTCACCTGGTTTTGTGACATTCTCTTATTGGGAATGACCTTCTAAAAGTATATCATCTTGCAACACTAATACACTACTGTTTTTCCATTACTGATGGCGACGGTAGACCCAGTTGAGCTCACCAATTCAATTAGTTAATTAATATGCATTTAGTGCACAATTACGAACTGTTATGATCAGTAGCCCATTGGTCTCTTAGTGGTGGAAATACAATTAAGGATTGTGATTAATTAGGTCTCAAGAGGCGTTTTTTGTTAATACATATCATAACATATGGATCCACTTTAAATGCACTGATCTGTGGCTGCCATTAGTTTCCTGTTATTGGAGCCTTTTCTTTATTCCTGATCAGGGGATGATTTGTTGCTGGTTTCTTTTCTTAATTTGTCAGTTTTAAGTGTTGGGGCACAATATATAGTCTTATATTATTTTAATTTTTTTTTATGGCTTGATCTTGTATTGCAGGAGCAGGAGAGCCACCAGTCTACTATAGTGCATTGCAGGAAAAAAATAAACTAACAAATTAAAATAGAGTTTTAGTGGGTAAAATTATTAAAAAATTTTATGAATTTATAGTGTCAACAATCAGTTAATCACTATCAATAACTTTAGTGGCATATGAAAAGGTTTCACAATGAATTTTATAATATTTGATTGCATGTCTCTCATGAAAGTCTATCAATGAATTTGAAGTATACACAAATTTATTATAAAATTTGCTTAAATCAATTATTCGTATTGGAGGTCATGATATTGGAAAATGAGACCTCTTAACCATCAATCAGACTCTGATATCATGTCACTAAACTAATTAGTTCTTTTTCTTTTATGAAGATGTATAATCTTAGTCAACCAGACTCTCCTATCTTGTCAGTAATCGACGGGATGACTAATTTTGGACGTAACGATTCTAACACAAGATCGAGTACCTCTTTGTCATCAACCAAACACTGATACCATACCAATAGTCAATCTTAGTACAATTATAGAGAAGTGGCACTAAATATTGATGAGAGAATATGACGATGACAATGGGATGGGTTAGCTTGCTAACCATAAGGAGGTTATCAGTATCACCATGCTAAGTTGCTAATTATCATAATGAGGTGTAGAAGTATAATTTCAGTCTTTGTTTTTGCAGTTGACGTCGTTGTTTTTTTTTTTTTTTTGCAATTGTGTGACTACAATTTCGACGTGTACTACTATAATTCATAATTAGTATGGTGCCAGCCCTTACAGAATTAGTCACTGAGTCACAGTATCCTGTCCCAATGATAACCTACCATCCAACAACCTTACAAATTTGTTCGATCGACACAAACATGGTAATCTCATATCAAATTTCCACAAATTCATAAATATTTGGAAATGAATGAATGTGAAAAATTGTCTATATAAAATATGCTACCGACAGTACTTCGATCTCCTACTCATTGGTTTCTGTTCGATTTTTTTTCCTTCTTCTATTCGAATGTTCATTAGATCAAAAAGGGAGAAATTTGTGTGGCTGGCTGTTGATGTACGTACGTAATATATGAGAGAAGCTAGCTAGCAGCATGCATGAAGAATAAGTTCCTTTTTCTCGACGTTGCTAGATCATCTCCATTACTATCTGAATAACTTATTCACCCTTATGCTTTGTCCTAAATGCACAAACACACAATCCTGTCAAGTAGAAAAGCGTATTGATACCCATAATCATAACTAGCTTTCAAACTCCTTCTTCATCATCTGCACACATGACTTGGATTAATCGAACCCTAGCTAGCTCCACTCAGGCTGTTATATATTCCTCATCGTTAAATGTCTTGTCTGCCTTTAAAAGCTTGTTGATTGGAGGAAGAAGAGGACAAAACACATCATGATCCTGTCGTATGATTGAACGGATCTCTGTGCGTGTGTTGGAGCCTGCGGATCAGAGTGATTGATGAGATCTTCGACCATATGCACTTGAGTGGAATAGGGTTCCGAAAATGTGGTTGGTAATGCTTGGAAATTGAGTATATATATATATAGGTGCTTATTATATTCCTAGTTGAACAAAGAGTTTGGTGATTAGGGTTTATACGATATTGCAGGAATTATGCTTTCATATTGTGTGTTTCGAGTCACGCCGTGGTCGTTGGATGTAATTGGATAACACGTACTCGTGTTCGTGATCCTGTACGTATATGGTCTGTGGTGATTTTGTAGGGGCAACAGGTCTCGTTTCATTTTTCATCCTGATGGTGGGTCTTGTAAGTATTAGGCGTATGCACATATTGGATGAGTATCGTACAAATGAAAACTCTCATAATGTCTACGGGAAGAAAGAAAAGATAATCAACTACATGTAATTATATAATCTGGATTTGTTCCTACGCTCCTACAAATTTAATTGGAGAGAGAATATACCGGAGCGATTAGATAATTATAAGCAACACTGTGTAGATCGTCCAACTTAATTTCAATAAACAAAATGTTTGCGATTCTATTTTTTAAAAACCAATTAATCACAATAACCTGAACTATTTAAAGATGTGCCGTTATGAATTTTATACGATTTACTAATTTCAATTTAACCAGAAATGAATGAAAACTAAGAGTGAGGAGTTCGATATTCAAACATTGTCTTATACTCTTAAGGACTATCATAAATTAGAAGAACCTTCATTATTCAGGAACCTCTGAGAAGAAGAAAAAAACAACGATGGGTATCTTTGTTAGAATATGACAAAAACACCATGATTGTCATCTAATTGTCTCTTTGTTTTGATTTATTTCTTCCCTCGCGGTGACATTATCATTGTAATTTGATTAGCAAAAAAAAAAAATCATTGTAATTTGATTAACAAAGGAATTAAGTATTATGAAATCGAGGATTAATTTACAATATTTTACATGCAGGAGAAGAGAATGTTGGTGCCTGGCGAGTGGAAGAGAGAGAGAGGGAGAGGGAAGACTTTGACTTGGTCGCACGTTTCCTGGCGCAACTTCCATTCCTCTCTCTCTCTCTCTCCTCCATAGCTCTCCCGCCAATCCCCGCAAGAAGAACACATCAGAGACGCCACAGTTTTTGTTTTTTTGTTTTTTTTACGTCTCCATCCCCATTCCCGTCGTTTTCCGTCCTCTTTCTCCTGCGTTTCGATAGATAGTCAAGTTCCTTTCTTTACTCCACGAGCCTTTTCAATTGGAACTAAAATTGTTAAGAAGAATCTTTTTTTTTAGATGTACTTGAGAAGAAAATAGGTTGTCAACCCGTGGGTCGACCCAATTTGACCCTGACCCGGTGAGAAAAACGGACCGCACGCACTCGCCGGGCCGACGCTATTAGGTACCGGGTTGGAGGTCAAATTGTGTCATTTTTTTCTTTATTTTGCGAAATGCGCCTATTTTCCAATTTTTCTTTTCGCCTAACTCAATTTTTGGAATACTAAGTTGAACATTTGAATATTTATGTTATATAAGTGTGTGTGAATTTTCACTATATGTTGGATCTAAGTACGATATGTTATTTTGGTGTAATATTATATGTTATAACTCATATGTTAGATAAGATTTGATATAATTTATGAGGATAAGTGCAATATAATGACTCTTTCTATATTTCCGGGCCAAACCGGGCTAAAACAGTTGACCCATTAACCCTTGACCCACTAGCTCGACCGGGTCCGGGTCAACCCGCGGGTTGACAACCTTGTCAAGAAATTAAGTTGTTAAGGAAATAAAATTAAGACAATTCAATAAATAATTAGTACTACGAATTTACATGGACGTGAGAGAGAGTGGGGAAGTTTTTTTTTCTTCCTTCTTCTTTAAATGATTCGGAGTTGCGTTTTCTGCGCCGCTTTCCATTCTCTCTGAAAGACTTCTCCCTTCTTCTTCTTCACATCCGTAACTGAACAATCACATCACTGTCTCTCAGTTGTATTTTATTGATTGAATTCTCCTGTCATATTCTCCTTCCTGGCAAAATTTAATTATTGCCTCTGTTTTTACTAATTACTAAAAAAACAGAGTCCATTTTGCAAAGTCTCCACCTTCATCCATTGTTTGTTTTTCCCTATTCCTGACAACGAGACGACGCCCAAGCGTGTACTTTCTGAAAAAAAAAAAAAAACATCACATTGATGGCGCCATAATCGAGGAATTAAGGAAAGGCGGAAGAGAGAACCAACCTTCGGAAACGAAATACCCAAATTGCAGAGGAACTCCCCCCCAGCCTTCTCCCCTCTGGTTTCCATGTTTTCTGCAACTAATATCTCCCTGTGAGCGCTTCTTCTTCTTCTTCTTCTTCTTATTCTTCCTCTTGACTTTCTCCGATTCTTCTTTCCGTTTCATTCCCCCCTTCTGCCGATTCCTTATTAAGTTTGATTTTCTGCCCCCTCTCTCAGATTCGAAATTCTTCAGAAAACGTCGGACGTTCCAGCGCGCAGGTTCTCTGTAATCCCAGAATCATGCTCAAGGTTCGACCACCAGCTGCAAATTTCAATCCTTTCCTGCTCAATTCTGAAAATTTTGTCTGCAGGGGAACAGGATCATGAATTCTGCTTTCTGGGTAGGGCATGAAATATTCATGTGTTGGGCTTATATCTGTCTGCCCTGTTCTTTGTTGTGTGCGCTTGGCTCTGCAGATATCAATACCAGTGGATGCCAAAACCAGATCATGCCTCTGCAGCGGCGTTTTCCCGGCGGCTTCGGTCATTCTGCTAGTCTTCTTCATCGCCACCTCCGTTCTAGTTCCTGACCACAAACAGGTAAATGAATCAACCCACTAAACCCTAATCAAGCTTTTGCACAATCAGAATCAGGACCCCGAATGTAGAAATTCTGAAACGAAGTAAAAAAAAAAAAAAACCCCCCATGTTCTGCTTTGTCCTGTGCAGTCTGAATTGCAGGCATTGGCTAGATCAGACGCTGTAGGTAGTTTCAGCAATGTCAATTCCACCTGCAATTGCGAGGAAAGGGAGATAGCGCCGCGAAGTAAGGAGCAGGAAATCATGCCTCAGGAAAGACAGACATTGCCCCAAAGTAAGAAGGTACAGGAAATCATGCCTCAGGAAGGTGTGATACTGCCCCAAAGCAAGGACCAGGAAATGCCCAAGGAAACTGAGACATTGCCCCAAAGAAAGGACCAAGAAAGGCCTCAGGGAACCGAGACACTGCCCGAAAGCATTGTCGGTTCCAACGATCTGAATTCAATCAATTGCCAGGTGGGTTGGTGTCTGTTCTTCTCGTTCTCCTACTCCGGTTCTGTAATTCGAATGCTTGTTTGAGCTGGTGTTCTTCTGTTGGGGACTTTCAGGATCGAGAAGCGCCTCAGGGAAGCGAGACATTGCCCCGAGGTATCGTCCAGAAGACATCGAATCTGCAGATGAGACCCCTATGGGGAAACGTCGCGAAGAGGAAACCGAACGAGAGGGCCAACTTGTTTGCAGCAGCTGTGGGTGTGAAGCAGAAAGAACTGGTGAACAAAATGGCGACCAAGTTTCTTTCCAGCGGGTTCACGGTGATGTTGTTCCACTACGACGACAATGTGGATGAATGGCGGGAGTTCGATTGGAACTCCAATGTCATTCATGTCTCTGCACACAATCAAACCAAATGGCAAGTGTTCTATTTTTCACTTCTTCAATGTCGAAAACAATCTCTGAACATAACAACTTGTGTTTCATCAGGTGGTTTGCAAAGCGGTTTATGCATCCTGACATAGTCGCGGAGTACGATTACGTATTCCTGTGGGATGAAGACATCGGAGTCGATAGTTTCGATCCTGCCAGGTACCTGTCGATCGTCGCGAGTGAAGGTCTCGAGATATCGCAACCAGCATTGGACGTGCGGAAGTCAGAGATACATCAGCAGATTACTGCTCGGACCAAGTCTACAGTCCACAGGTCCAGAAATGTTTCTCTGTTTATCGACTCTGCCTCATTTCCTCCTTTACCGTTTCTAGGTCCCTGAACTCTCAGCAGCACGGCCTAAATTTCTGTGGTTGTGCAGACGAATATACAAGACGGGATCTTGCGATGGAAGCAGCACTAAACCTCCGTGCACTGCGTGGGTGGAGATGATGGCGCCTGTGTTCTCGCGAGACGCCTGGCGCTGTGCTTGGCACATGATCCAGGTAATTTAGAGTCAGGGGAAGACAGGCTGATATTCGTCTATAGGGCTAGGCATAACTCCGCCTCTGCAGTCTGCCAAAACCTTGTTTTCATTTCTCCATTTCCATGTGCAAAATGCCTGGGGGATTTTCAGTATTTGGTGTGGATTTTGCAATTGCAGAATGACTTGATCCATGCTTGGGGACTGGATTATCGGCTAGGCTACTGTGCTCAAGGGGACCGAACCCAGAAAATGGGAATTGTAGATGCAGAGTATGTTGTACATCACGGCAAGCCTACACTAGGCGCACCAAAGGTGATTGATTGTTTGATCGATTGAATGACTTTCCGCGACATGATATGGTTCGTTATGTGTAGAGAAAATCGATCAAGGATTAATATTGGGGAATGTTTTTGCAGGATTCTGGTCCACCGCAGCCTTTTAATCCCCGCAAATTCAACCCTAGAGTGGAAGTAAGTAGTACTTGTTCCATGGTGAACCATATTTTTCACTAGTTCTCGTTTCGTGACAACTGGAATTCGATGCACACTCATTCCCGTGTATATAACACGGCTAAAAGTTGTGACTGTGTTTGATTTTCGTGTTGCGAGAGACCATTAGCGTATAATGCGCGAAAATTGATTGAATTTTTTTGGTGGTTTGGTCTGGACAGGTGAGGAGGCAATCATGGAACGAGTACAAAACCTTCAAACGAAGATGGGCAAAGGCAGCTGAGGATGATAAATGTTGGATAGACCCTTACAAGGATGACGAACCCCACAGAAAATAGTGTACTAGAGAGCCCATTTTGTTTCTTTCACTTTTTTTTTGGGGTACAGACTTCAGAATCTCTTGGACTAGAGTGGCATGCATTGAATCTCGGGGGAATGATTCGTAAATAGTTTTCGTGTAAATTCATAGGGCGGGAGATTGGATTCTTGTATTCATTTGTGAGGCGAAAAAAGGAAATTGAGGAGAGGAGCATATAGGAAACCAAAAGACTATTTATTTTGAATTAGCGATAAAATGGAGCGATACAGATTAGATTTATTTTGGATGGCAGAAGAAAGGGGGAGGCAAGAATTAATGGAGGTTGTTCTCTTTGGAGACGGTAAAGACGATTATATGCTCTTATGCTATGAATTTGGACATAGAATTTGCTTCTTCTGCCACTTGATTTAGTTTTTGTTCTTCTCTAACTTTACTTGAACCAGTTCGTTAATTTCTTTTGAGCTCTTGAAGTGATCAGTATAATGTGACATCGTTAAACATTGCATTTCTTGATGAATGTCAATCTCGTATATCTGGATCATAGCATCGCTATCCCTTTCATTATTCATCACAGCCTACCAAAATGCATCTTAATGCCTATTCATCAAACCAAGTTCTCAGCTAGTCAAGCACAAAAGTTTAGTACGTGCATCCAAACACTCGAAAGTGACTAACAGTGGGATTCATCATCTGTAATTTCTCAATCGATCAGATAAATGCATGATGGTCTTCATGCACTCTACCTAACAACGAGCAGACCATTAAATCTTGGCACTACAACATTCTCGACCAACTTGACTATTAGCCCATTGCTCGAGTTACTTACATATATGTTTATAATTTCTCCTTCATAAACTCAAGCCAAACATATAAGGAATAATTATTAATGAATTTTATCATGTTCCAGAATCCATTCTCATAAGGTTATTTTATTAATAAAAAAATGTGTGTGGATCAACTTCACTGATTCCTTGCCTCTAAATTTCGAGTCCCCTCTCGCCAACGATGTGTTTTTTTTTTTTGGGGTAAGATTTTAGATAAAAAGAGATGGATTGTTTTGTTTGATTAAAAATTTGTAGTTGGAAATTGATGGAAGAAAAACAGAAATGCAAATTAAACAATTGCTTTAAACCCCTATGAACAACAACAACTTGTCAAGAACCAATAAAATCAGCAAAATCAACTTGCCAAAGACTGTTAGTCAAAACAACAAAATCAACACAAGGGCACTGCTTTTTTTTTTTCCTGACAACTAAAATATGGCAACCAGAAACAAGTTATTATGTCAAGAACAAACCTTCAAAGTTCAAACCCGCATCGCATATTGAAACTGAAGGATGATGATAGGAACAAAAACAAATCGAACAACTTCAGTTGTATCTAACAAATCCGAATCGATTTGCATAAGAAGAAAAAGAACTTGCCACAAAGAGAAAATGAGAAGAAAGAAAGCGCTCAAAAAGGGCTAAATCCCGCAACTTTTCTCATCCACCACATTCTAAATTCTGACGTTGAACACCATCAATTCTCCCGAAAAAACGACGAAGAAGAAGAACACAAGAATGGAGAAAATGATGAGGGTGGGAATTCTACTGTTCATAGCTGTGATTACAATCCTGTGCTGGAATCCAAAGGGGATCGTGGTGGAAGCAGAGGACATGTTTTGCTGCATTCAGCTTTACAATGGTCTGGTTCAGACCGGGACCTGCTGCGAGACCGGGGTTCCCCTAGATCTTAACAAACAAATAATGGATTAATTAATTACTTAACCTAATTCTTCGTTCTTAACATATCAAATGTCAAACTTGTGTACATGAAGTGATTTTTTTTATATATTTATATACATTGCCCTGCCATTCATGAGTGAGTGAATTACCTTGTGTGTCTATACAATTTATCGTTTGATATCCGATTAAATCGATACAAGTATTAAACACGTCGATATTCCTTTCTTTTGCACCATAGGTGGTGCTGACGACGTTTATGCAAAGAGGTATACAATTGGAGGAAACACCATTTTGGTTTTCCTTACCGACACCACACAAAAATTAACCGATGTCAAAAACAACAAAAAACAGTTCGTCTTTATCTTTTGCCACGATATATTGTCTTTTTAGCGACCATCATTTTTTTTTGTTGTACAAAACACTTTCCTCGGTTGAAAATTCAAAACCAACTCCATCGAGATCCGCAGGAAAAAATCAAATCCAAAACGTTGGTATCGCCCTAGCTCTTACCCACTCCATCGAGAGCCGCAAGAAAGGGATTTTTTTTTTGTTTTCATGAAGAGAAAATGAGAAGGAGGTTTCATCGACATTATCAAAAGAAGAGAAAATGAGGAGGAAACAATTGCGGGTCAATTTATGATATTTTTTTGACGTCGAATCGTGCACCGACAACCCTCTAGAAAACGGCGAAGAAGAAGCACAACAACAACAACAAAACAAAGGGAGAATGAGGGTGGGAATCGTATTGTTCATCGTAGCGATGATTATGATGTTGTGGTGGGATGATAAGGGGATTGTGGTGAAAGCACAGAACGACCTGATGTGCTGCATTGAATTCTACGGTGGTCTGGTTCGGGCCGGGAGCTGCTGTGACACCGGGGTTGCCCTAGATATTACCAAACAAATCTTGGGTTAATTATTACACATGGTTAGAAATTTGTGCCTGCAAACCCAGTTCATCATCCAATCGATCTTCCAATGTGCTAGGCATCATGATTAATGTCATTATGATTGTGCAAAAATAAAATAACTTCTCAGTTTTTGATTGGAGGATGTATTTCGTGTTTTAGTTTAGTCGTTTTTAGTAATACTTCAAACGTTACGTCGTATATTGGGTATTGACGTAAAGATTTAATTACCTTGTGATTTATAGAGGAGCATTTCTTTTTCGTTTTATTTTGTCTCGTTGTTTGATTTTGATTGATTTGATATGAGTATTATATGTACATGTTGATGTTTCATTATTTTTTTTTTCCGTTCGTCCATGTCGTGCATGAATTGATGCTAATGTTTAAGTCGATTGAAGATTGCTATTTCTTTTTTGAGGAAAAAAGTGATTTTTTTTTCTCACACGCTGAACAATTACTCGATTCAAATAGTTAGAGTCGTTAGAGACACTACAACGACAATGATGTCAAAAAGCGACAAATACACTGTCGTCGGAAGTACCCACCGGAAATGCATAATCGGACACACGGCCACAGAGAATCCTGACTACTTGCTCAAAATAATATTATAGCACCCTGTTTTTCTCCACAACTGCGGGAACCATGCCCAGTTGCGAACAGAGACTACCGGCGGCGAATCCTGCAAATCGTGTTGTCCCTAAAAGAACATGCAAATCGTGTTGCGGTTACTTAAAACCGTGTTAGTATAGGGTCTTGTTGGGCCCCGTCTGATTCGTTGGATTAGGGTTTTAACCCTCAGTCTTTCTCTATATAAGCTTAGCTATCGACTTGTGTGATAGTAAGCCGTCAAAATGTAAACCTAATAAGAGATCAGATGTGAGCTCTTCAGAGATCAGCTGTGAGCTCTTCAGAGCTCACCGTGGATTAGTCTTGTTCACATCAAACAGGAATACCACGTAAAACTCTCGTGTTCTGTGTTCGTTTCCTTCCGCATCATCAAATTCTACAAATTGAGACTCTGTTTTTGGATGCTGTCATTATTAGAGCATGATGATGGCATCGATACCAACATGGAGATGCAGCAGAGTGAAGCTATCTGCAAAAACCTAGGATTGATTGCCCAATTCGTTTTCTTCAAGGTGCTAATCTAGCAGTTTTTTTTATGGTATCAGCTCCAATGTTGGTCAACGTGAGCTTTCATAAATAATAGGCAAAATACCCTTGCATAGCCAAAACTTTCACCTTTGTGCCACTTATAGCCACATTTGGCGAAATACCACTAATAGCCACTAATATATAAACAAAACACGTAGGTAACCATTTATATAATAGCTTCGTATGTACGTAGACTAACTAGTGCATGAAATTTATTATCTGTCACCTGCACGAGAAGCAGCGGGAAGGAGGAAATGCCCTTGGAGAAGTCAACTTGCGGGACCAACTGCATCAACTCGGGAGCAGGCTGGAAATCGCCCAACTCGGAGATGGTGACGTCAGTTTCCGCCTCGACGAAAAGGACGCCTTGGCCGTTGCAGTCGATTTCAAACCGGCCCGATTCGTCCTGGGCCTGGGCCAACCTCCCGGCCACCGGGAAGAAGGTGACCAGGGCCTGGCCCAGGGACTCCTTCAGCACCCTGCAGCTGAAGAAACCGTGAGCAGCCGCGCCGCCGTCAGGGCGACGCCAGCTGTAAGGTTGCAGCATCGGGACGTGAGCGGTTTTGGCGAAGAACTGGTCCAGGTTCGACAGCCACAGGCGCTGGCTCGGGGTTTGGCCAGCCGGTCGGACCATGCAGCTTTCCGTCACTGCAACCTTCATCTTTTTTTTTATCACTTCCGGTCTGGCTCGGGTTGGCTATAGCTGATTCCCGGTTGGCAATGGTTGGGTTAAACTAGATAGCTTTAGCTGCTGGATATGTTGATGTTAGTGGAAGCGTTGCGGTATTTGTAGTCGGGACAATGGGTAATCTTTAATGGTTCGTTGTTAGCAAATTACGCAATTTGAAAGAGTAGATATATGTTAGGTAATCTTTAAATAAGAGTCATTATAAGCTATCGCCCTATGGGTAAGAAGCGAATTGGGAATTAATGGCGAGTTGGGTCAGGTTGCCAACGTTGGCTTCCTTGTAAAAATTGGCCGCCAAACAAGAACAACGTCGAAGATGTCAGCTCTGAGTTCGTTGCGGGGTACGTTCTTGTGTTTCTAGTTAACTGCGAGACGTTTCTCTTCAATTTGGTGGACTCTCTGCTTGTCTATTCGTTTTCTTTGAATCGCCAGTGGCGGAGGGAGAGGGTCACAGGGTGGGTCCCGGGACCCACCCTGGCTCGGGGGGAAAATGGTTAAATTAGGTACGATAATTATTTGTTATCGAAAACTAAGTCACGTTTAATTCAGAATAGTTGGTCGAAAAGTTTTGTGTTTGAATCTTGGCGACCTCATTTCTTAAGCATACGGTATACAGATTTGTGCAAACATCAATTTCGTATAAGTTGACTTTCTTATAAGGGAGCAAGGTAGTAAATGGTATAATATATTATTGAAATCTTCCAACAACTCGATTTATTGATACTAAATATTTTTTTAAAAACATCATTCGAAAGCGAATGACTAGGTAAACCATGAATTATTGGTTGGTATAAGATTTATTATTAAACATTTATCAACAACTCGATGTATTGATACTAACGGTTCTAACAAAGAACACCATTTGAGACACTACGACTAACTAAATCAATGATTGTTTGGTATATATGCAGAGTGATATTCTTGATATTTTCGACTGATAATGCATTTTAATTTATCAAAAAATTTCAACGTAAGATTATATTAAAAAACTATTTTATCATATTTATTTTTCTCGATATGGACCCACCTTAAACGAAATCCTGGCTACGCCAATGTCGCCAGAGTGCTGCGAAGGAAGAACAGATGAAAAGCAAAGAGGAAATATATTTGATCTCTTTGTTTTGTTGTTTGGTGGTGTGCGGCAAAAGTAGAAGGACCATTAAGCAACCCGAAGCCCACTATTACTACACGAAGGGGAAGGCAATCGCATTTGACTCAAACTTGTCTTTTGCTCGCCCGATGGGCGGTGTATTCAATTTTTTTTCCTTCTTATTTGTCATTTTTCTTGAATGTTATTAGGTTGCTAATTTCTTTATATTTAATTTTTGGGTATAGTTTATCCAAATCTCGATTAATAAAATAATAAGAGTCACGACTATATCATAAGTTGGATGTTCAGATTCCGACCATCTAATCTTTGACTAACCAATAGTTTTAACTTCGAAAGTTGTATGACTTCTTTTTAGTTTTATCTTTGGTGTATCTAGATGTTAGGAGCAAGATATTATGAAATTCTAAAATTTTCTTATTATACTCGATTATAATAGTTTCACATAGAGAGTGCAAATTATCATATGTAACGATTGAAATGAGTCGATTTTCAACATCTTTCTCCTTTGATGTATGAAAAACCGAGAAAATGTAGAATTAGACATTCTTGTGGTAGCAGAATTCCAATCAATGATACATTTGTCTCCAAATTGAAAACAAATATATTTCATGCCAACCATTCAAATTGTGACAAATGATGTCACCTATAAAACTAAAATAAAAATATCATTATAAATTCTTACTTACTCCCGAAAATGCTTGTCCACATTGCTATTTAACGACAATATCTCAACTTTCTCTTGTTTACAGCAAATGAGACTTTTGGAGTGATATAGTTTTTTTTGTTTAGGATGTACTTTTTTTGACATAACAACACCACAACACCAACATATGCTTGGAGGAGGTCCAAAAGTGAGATTCCACATATTTGGTAATTAAACACCCAAAAAGAAACATTGTTTAGACAAAAACTAAAGTGAAAGATGATTGCATGTCATTAGAATCTTAATTATATTCCCCAAGTGTACGTACTTGTTTTAGCAATGGAACAATTTCCTTCATTTTTATGAAAACATGTATTTTCTGCTTCATAATGTGATTACTGTATCATTTAGTTTGAGTGAATAGTTATAATTTAGTCATTTGGGATTAATTATGAGTTTGGTTACCTGGTTAATGTGATTACTTTTAATAAATGTGCATGGAAGTTGCATCATTTACAAAACTAATGTGATAAAAAAAACTCCATAATAGTCTTAATATAAGTTAAGTTTAGAGAAATTCTAATATTGATTTTTTTTCCAAGCATAACGAATTTGTCCTAGTGATTTTAAATTTAAATAAGAGATACAACATTTAGCTTTGTCTTACTTTTTAGTAGAATACATAATTTTTATTTAAAATATAAAAACTATAACTCAAAATATAGTTTCAATTTCATGAAAATTTCAGGGGAAGGAATTTAAAGGAAATAAAGGATGATAAAACTATTAAGAAAATATAATATAAAATCAATCTCAATAAGTTTGGCTGATGAGGGAGACATTAAATGTAGTATATGCTTTTAAAATTTAAGATCAGCATCAAATTTTAAGAAATAATAGTGTTGAGTTGGAAAGTCGTGAAGCGATTGCAAACAATTTTGGAAACGAAAAATAGCATCGGGTTAAATTCGTGATCTATATTCAAAATTGAAAGAAAATGGCATTTCATAAAAATTGCGCCAAATCTGTGATGTAACCCTTTAGAATCTGCTAAAAATAGACCCGGAAGAAACCACCCAAAATTATTGCTTAATGGACTTAATCATCGTTGAAAAATAGCCTCGGGCCGTATCTAGGATCTCCATCCTTCAAAATCCAACAAAAATGGCATTTAAATAAAATCATCGGAAAATATTACGAAAATGTCATACAAAAATGAATTTGTCCAAATCGGTGCTAAATTAACTTAATCATCGGTGGAGAATATGATAAATAGACTTCATTATGGGTTTAGAATAGTCTTGAACTGAATCTATGATCTATAGCCTTCAAAATAGAAAGAAAATTAAATTTCGCATAGATCGCCCTGCACCTAGGATCTATAGTCAAAGAAAGATAGATGGAGAGGTTGAAAGCGCTAAGAGAGTTACTTGCCTCCTCTCACTTCACCCTTCGGTCTCATATATTTAAAATCTTTGGGGTGAAAGCAAAACCAAGATATGTATTGGTTGAATCAATCTGGCCATCTGGGTCCCGGGACTGGGTTTTCTCGGAAGAGGTATCAGTGGGGTCATGTCCTAAGGGAAGGTGACCGAATTCACGGATCAAACGGCATCCCCAAGCACATGGGGATATTTAAGAATTCGTGCACAAGGGTAAGGAACTTTGGATGAACTAATACGAATGGGTGTAAGCTTCGCTGCTCGGCCAAAAATGGACTCGAAAGAAATTCGCATAAATCAGTGGTTAATGAACTTAATCATAATTGAAGAATAGCCTCAAGTTGAATTTGTGATATGTAGCCTTCAAAATCAAAGGAAAATGGCCTCTCGAAAAAAATTGCTAATTTTTTTTTGAAAATGCCCTCCGAAAATGATGGAATTAATCATCTGTGGAAAAAAGATCAATAGACTTTACTATCGGTGGAGAATAGCCTCGGGCAGAATCTGTGATCTGTAACCTTCAAAATAGAAAGAAAATGACATTTTGGAAAAATCCACCGAAATCTGTGATATACCCCTTTAGAATTTGTAAAAAAATGGACGCGAAAGAAATTTGCCCAAACCAGAGCTTAATGGAATTAATTATCGTTCAAAAATAGTCTCGGACCGAATCAGTGATATGAAGCCTTCAAAATCCAAGCAAAATGGCCTTTCCAAAAAAAATAGCACAAAATTATGAAAATGTCATTCGACAATGAATTCGCCCAAATCAGTACTTAATGAACTTAATCATCGGCGGAGAATAGTATCAACATACTTCATTATCGATGGAAAATAGCATCGGGTTGAATCCATGATCTGTAACCTTCAAAATCGAAAGAAAATGGCATTTCGAAAAAATCGCCGAAATCTGTACCCCTTTGGAATTTGCAAAAAATGAACACGGAAGAAATCCGCTCAAATCGGTGCTGAATGGACTTAATTATCGTTGAAGAATAGCCTCACGCCAAATCTGTGATTTGTAGCTTTCAAAATCCAAGGAAAATGACCTTTTGAAAAAAATCATCCAAAAAATTACGAAAAAGTCATCAGAAAATGAATTCGCCCAAATCACTGCTTAATGGAGTTAATCATCAGTGGAGAATAGGATCAATAGACTTCATTATTGGTGGAGAATAGCCTTCTGTTGAATTAGTGATCTGTACCCTTCAAAATTGAAAGAAAATGGCATTTCGGAAAAAATCGCCCGAAATCTGTGATGGTACCTTTTGGAATATGCCAAAAATGGAACTTGAAGAAATCTACTCAAATCGGTGCTTAATGGATTTAATCATCCTTGAAGAATAGTCTCAAACTGAATCTTTATCTGTGTCTTTAAAATTTCAAGGATAATAGTCTTTAAAAAAAATTGCCAAAAAATTTACGAAAATGTCATCCAATAATGAAATCGCTCAAATCTGTGCTTAATTGACTTAATCATCGATGGAGAATAGGATCAATAGACTTCATTATCGGTGGAGAATAGCTTCAGGCAGAATCTGTGATCTGTAGCCTTCGAAATCGAAAGAAAACATATGCGATCGGAGAACCCAAAAAGATAAAACGAACGAATTGAGATCGGGGGACTCACGTATCAGCGATGCCAGTCATGTTTCCGAAGAATCACGGTGGTGGTTCAGAGAGACAAACAGAACAATCCCATATCGTGACCAATAAACACAGTTGGTCCCGGAAACAAGAGAAAAAACACAATTGATCACACGACACGTGACCGTAACAGTACTTTAGATGAATCTCACATCGAAAAAGCATGAGAGAGATTTATTGTTTATAAGTAGAAAATCGCCTTTAACTAACAAGACGCGCACGATTTGTGGTGAAATTAAAGATCTTGTGAGAACTTCGAAGTTAAACATGCTCACTGTAAAAAAAACTGCAAGGACGAGTGACCTTACGGGAAGTCACCTCTGATGTTTTAAATCACAAACGAGAATCAAGTCGTGGCAATGAAGTAGCGGTGGTGGTGCTTAGTACAGTACTATCATCAGTAGTCAATAACCCTTTGAATCTCTCCATCGCGGCGGCCTCCAAGCAAATGGAGAACGACAGGCCGCCGTCTTCGTCTCTGGGTTTCGGCAGTAAGAGACACGACCCTTCCCACGAGCACGCTGGCCGAACGAAAATCGGGTCTCCCCACCCGAAGTCCTGTCCGAATGGCAGCTGGGCCCAACTTATGACCTTGAGGTGGGGCGACCCGGAAATTCCAGGGATTCGAATCGTGGATCCTCCCGCTCGCTCCAGATAGTCTATGGACGATCTCATGTACTCATCGTCGCTCCTCCTTATCGCCCTCCTGATCCTCCCGGCCGTCCGGTGCAGCGACTCCGAAGCTAGCTCCGCCGTCGACGCCGCCACCACGGCGTGGAACAAGCAGTTGCCGAAGTAGCCAGGCGGCAAAGCCGGCTCGAACCTCCTCCGGCCGTCGATGGTAACGTGGAGAGTGACGGGCTGGTTTCTGTCGGCGAAGCTGCGGGCTACGGTCACGCACCGCCAGATGTGCGCCGTCAGCACCTCGTAGGTGGTGTAGTAACGATTAATATCGTCGCCGTTAGTACTACTGTTGGCTTTCTCTTTCAAGCGCATGATTTGGTCGAGGGACAAGCTTAGGATCCGTGTGGAAGTTGACAACGCAGACGGCGGCGGGGTTTGCTGCTCTTCGTCAATTGATTCGCAGTACTCGGGGTGTTGCCACGTGGGAGACGGCGGAGATCTTGACCGGAGAATTGTTCGATCGAGGAAAGGCAGCAGGTTCGTGGCGACGGATAGGCCACGAGCTAGGCTAGACCATGCAGTCAGCAGATTGTAGAATCCTTTACCGTCAGAGATTGCGTGTTGGTACCCGATCCCCAGGCAAACTCCGCCGCATCGAAATCTCGTCACCTGTGATGTGATAAAGAAATCGATCAACTGTTAGTGCTGGGGTCGTGGAGATGTGGACGTGCGAACATTACCTGATCAAGCGAGAGCGTTGATAATATAAGTAAACTAGTTGGTTCTAATAACTCGAGTTGTTGGGAGAAAGTTAATTAAGGATCTTATATCTCTTGAACTTGTTGCAAATCTTTTCATACGATCATCATTTAAATTAGTTCCCGGCGGCCGGAGGTCATAGATCACGACAACCGCCCAAGTTATCTATATTAGGTAGGAGTGGGCACGTGAGTGGTTAATCCGTGGTTACACGTCAATCCACCCACAAATATAATGCAAACCGCAGTGACCAGGTGGAAGATTGATGTTGGTGGATTGCGGATTGATATAATCTCCCACCCGCGGGTGACCCCACCGTATTTTCACATGACAAAAACTCATTTTTTATACTATCGAAAATTTATCATACTGCACTACATATATATAAACAAAACACGTAGGTAACCATTTATATAATAGCTTCGTATGTACGTAGACTAACTAGTGCATGAAATTTATTATCTGTTGTCACCTGCACGAGAAGCAGCGGGAAGGAGGAAATGCCCTTGGAGAAGTCAACTTGCGGGACCAACTGCATCAACTCGGGAGCAGGCTGGAAATCGCCCAACTCGGAGATGGTGACGTCAGTTTCCGCCTCGACGAAAAGGACGCCTTGGCCGTTGCAGTCGATTTCAAACCGGCCCGATTCGTCCTGGGCCTGGGCCAACCTCCCGGCCACCGGGAAGAAGGTGACGAGGGCCTGGCCCAGGGACTCCTTCAGCACCCTGCCGTTGAAGAAACCGTGAGCAGCCGCGCCGCCGTCACGGCGGCGCCAGCTGTAAGGCTGCAGCATCGGGACGTGAGCGGTTTTGGCGAAGAACTGGTCCAGGTTCGACAGCCACAGGCGCTGGCTCGGGGTTTGCCCGGCCGGTCGGACCATGCAGCTTTCCGTCACTGCAACCTTCATCTTTTTTTTATCACTTCCGGTCTGGCTCGGGTTGGCAATGGGTGGGTTAACGAGATAGCTTTAGCTGGATATATGTTGATGTCAGTGGAAGCGTTGCGGTATTTGTAGTCGGGACAATGGGTTCCCAATCGCCGCCACCGCAAAAAAGGACAAAAAAGAAAACAAAAAACAAAAAAGAAAAAGTCAGAATGATGAGATCTAGGTGGCGGCCGGCCGAACGGTGGGAAGATGGGGAAGGAATATTATAGCACGACGGCAAGGATATTGTTTAAGCTTTTCTTTAGCCTACTAGCATAGAGCCGTTCGTCGGCCGGAACCCGGAAGAGTTTGATGCTTTTTATGTGTCGGGCCAATTGAGTTTATATGCTGCATAGTTGAGACCAGGATGTTAATTTCTGAAATCACGGGCCAAAGTTGATTATATGGTCATAGTTCGGGCCAAAATAAGGTATTAACCCTTAATAAAACTACATTCCTTATTCGATGAAGACAATTTAATATGCTTGTCCCACGTAAAAATCTATTTTCTAAGACAAGATAAAAGAACCGTCCCCCAAATCTTCTTTATTTTGTAGTGCCAGCAATTTGTAGTGGGGGCAAATAACACTTTAAGGAGAGTGAATTATTCATGCCATCAATTTGTTGTTTCGATTTTTTCTAAAACCCATTTTCCTTGGATTTTGGAGGCTAAAGATCACGAATTCGGTCTAAGAAAATTTTGCACCGATGATTAAGCCTATTAAGTACTGATTTGGGCGGATTTTTTCCAGGTGGATTTTCGGCATATTTCAAAGGGGTTTCATCACAGATTTCATGCGACTTTTTCTAATGACCATTTTCATTGATTTTGAAAGCTACTAATCACGGATTTGCCCTGAGGCTATTTTGCACCGATGATGAAGTCTATTAAGCGCGGATTTTGGTGGATTTTTTTTTTTTTTTTGCAAGGCATTTTCGTAAGTTTTGGCTAATTTTTTCGAAAGACCATTTTCATTGGATTTTGAAGGCTAAAGATCACGGATTCGGTCTGAGGCTATTCTGCACAGATGATTAAGTCTATAAAGCACCGATTTCGGTGGATTTTTTTCGGGTTGGTTTTTGCAGATTCTGAAGGTGTACCATCACAAATTTCGGGCAAATTTTTTATAGTGATGATGATTCGAATTTCAGACAATTTTTTCGAAAGACAATTTTCCTTGGATTTTGAAGGTTGTTGATCACGGATTCTAGGGTGGGCCGAAATAATGCTATTCGGTTCGAAATTTGGAAAGAAAATATGGATATTTTGAAAACCAGGGTTCTTTCAACCGAACCAAAATTTCGAATTTCCGACCAAAAAATAAAAAAAAAACTATAATTGTAAGCTCCAAATGAGGGATTTTTGTATGTTTGTACTTATTTTGAGACTTAAATATTTGAATCATGTTAGGGTTTTATGACTTATGTGTTGAAATGTTTGATTTTATCATCATATAATTGTATATTTTTTCTTTACATTAGGGGTAAAAAATAATTTAAAAGGGAAAAAATATAAGTAGCCTCACAAATTAGATTTTGTGTGAAATTTCGAACCGTACCAAATTATAATTCGGTTTAGACCGAACAAGCCGAATTATAATTCAGTTCAAATTTAGTTTGAGGTTTGGTAGAATTCGGGGACCTATAAAGTATCATTTCGGTTCTGTCAAAACCGAACCGACCGAATGCCAACCCCTAACAGATTTTATACCGATGATGAAGTCTATTAAGCGTCGATTTTGCAGATTTTTTTCAGATGACATTTTCGTAATTCTATTGACTATTTTTTGAAAAGCTATTTTTCTTGGATTTTGAAGGTTAAAGATCACGGATTCGGCCTTAGGCTATTTTGCACCGATGATTAATTTTATTAAGCACTGATTTTAGTGGATTTCTTCTGGGTGGTTTTTTTGTAGATTCTTAAGTGGTATCATCGCATATTTCGGGCGATTTTTTTGAAAGACCATTTTTCTTGAATTTTGAAGGCTACTAATCACGGATTCGGTATGAGGCTATTCTCGACTAATGATGAAGTTTATTAAGCGCCGATTGGCGGATTTTTTCCGGAGTGCATTTTCGTAATATTTGAGCAATTCTTTTGAAAGATCATTTTTTGGATTTTGAAGGCTAAAGATCACAAAGGCCTGAGGCTATTATTCACCAATGATTAAGTCTATTAAGCACATATTTGGACGGCTTTTTTCCTGGTCGGTTTTTGGCAATTTCCAAAGGGGTACCATCACATATTGCTGGCTATTTTTTTCGAAATGTCATTTTCCTTGCATTTTGAAGGGTATTGATCAAAGATTCGGAATGAGGCTATTCTCCACCGATAATGAAGTTTATTAAGCGCCAATTTTGACGGGTTTTTTTTTCGGATGGCATTTTCATAATTTTTGGGCAATTTTATCGAAAGACTATTTTTCTTGGATTTTGAAGACTACAGATCACGCGATTCGGCCTGAGGCTATTTTGCACTAATGATTAAGTCTATTAAGCACCGATTTGGGTGGATTTTTTTCGTTTCGATTTTTGACGGATTACTAAGGAGTACCATCACAAGTTTAGTGTGATTTTTTCGAAAACCCATTTTCCTTGGATTTTGAAGGCTACTAATCACATATTTTTTATCTTGAGGTTATTCTCCACCGATGACAGTCTATTAAGTGCCAATTTTTTCGGAGGACATTTTAGTAATTTTTGGGCGGTTTTTAGATAGGTCATTTTCTTTCGATTTTGAAGGCTAACGATCACATATTCGGCTTGAGACTATTTTGCACCTATGATTAATTTTATTAAGCACCGATTTAGGCGGATTTTTTCCGAATTTTTTTTTTGAAATTCCACAATTGTTGTTAGCAACATACCACGATCTATATTTTCGTAACCGATTAATCCAATCCCAACTTATTTAGCATTCCAAAGGCTAAAAAACTTTAAAAAGGTTAGTTCGATCTTTAGAAACAATCCGCTGCGAAGCATGGGGCAATCAATTATCTAGTTACTATCAATACCATCAGATGATTAGTATTAACAGGATGTGTTATACTATCAATACTCTTATCAGCAGAAAAATGGAACCATAAGAAATCAGAAGAGGGATCGATTATCGTATTGAGACAACTCGCAACATGTGTCACGTCTTGGCTTTTTAACCAAAACGTAACAATATTTTGCAGATTGTTGTTGTTTTTATACAGTGCAACAGAGTATGAGAAATTGGGAGAGAGTTGAATCATTTTCTTCTGAATATTTGGCATTATCAACTGGTGGCAATGGATGGAACTCTGTACATCTCCAACAGACCCCAAGGGAATGAATTTCTTTTTCTTTTTTTTTTACAGTCAAAGCAGGCAAGCTTGTTTGTTCGCCATCTGCAGTATTCCAGAGCTGCTTATAACGATGCTCCGCAGCGGGGAGGCAGTCTCAATCATCCCTCTGCATCAATGTTATGATCGTCACCGGAAGAAGTCATCTGTCTCGGCTCTGACAATGAGAGTCTCCTCTGCATTCCGGAGTTCGCTGTAGCTTCCACGAGACCTTCCGGGGATAGAGCTAGTGAAGCCGGTCCTGAAGATGACCCCAGGTAGCGTCGAACCGGGGCATCAACAGCAGAAGATGATGATGCTGAGAGATTGTATGTGAAGATTCCCATGGGGTGGTCGAACTTGCAGCTCGGACCGAACTTGCAAATCCCGTATCGGGAGTAGAAGATACACAGCGGCTCTCCCTGTTGATTGATTAAAGCACCAGCTTCATCAATCATCATCAGACAGAAAGAAAGAAAGAAAGGGTGTAGCAAGTTGCAACCCGGCATGTGAAAATCAGGAGGAGAGAAAGGGTAGCTGAACTCACCGGACGTAAGGGGAGGCCTATAGGGCTCAATACACAGTCTGGAGCAGGGATGAGTCTTTCTCTTGGGTGATGAAATCTACAAACTGCACCAAACTTACAGTCACCGGTCTTCATATAATACTGGCATTCAGGTTGTCCAGGTCTCTCGGGAAACACATTGTCCCCCTGCAATGCATAAAATCCAACAGAGACTGAACCAGAACGGTATGGGTCGGTACTCGTCGTCTCATTCTGGAGGGAGTTACCGTATATCTGACTATTTCCACTTTGTTGCTGGCTATCAGGTGATGAAACTGAACCCACCTGACCCTACAATGAAACAACAAAAAGTAAAGTGTCCATAGAAGAATGTCTATGGAGAATGTAAGAATAGATAGCAGTATGCAAACTTCAGGGAAAAAGATTTTCTCGATTTCCTGTATCCAGGAGAGAACATTCAATCTGCTACAAGAATGTCTATGGAGAAAGTAAGGATACAAAAGAAGACGCCATATTCTTAGGTTGAGATGCAAAAGATAAAGCAATAACCACACAAAATAACACATTCAATCTGCTGCTCCTAGTGCAACTTTGGCCTGCTTAGTCATTCGATTAAGTCTGGCTGCAAGATCATTCTCAACATGAAATGGTTAAAGATTCTTACACTATATGAGTTCCAACCGGGAACAGAAACAACTCCCTGGGGTACGATTAAGGGTGTGTAACTGGAAGGAGCTTGCCAGCGTGGGCTGGTAATATAGGACGCCCTTGACCAGTTTGTAAGTCCAGCTGGGTAGGATTGCTGGCCAGGATTTGTTGGAGATTGAACAGTAGGATATATAGGAGAACCCCGTAACGGAAGCATTAAATTACTCGGTTGAGGATGATGAAATTTACATGTGCTCCCAAACTTGCATTGACCCGTTCTTAAATAGTAAGCACACTCAATCTCATTCTGCAACAAGCAAACGCACAACGAAAAACTGGTCAGAAATTGCAAAGATCATTAACTTGGCAAGCTAGACTTGGATATATGACATTATTACTACGCATTACACTGCAAGTTTCATGAAGCATAACCGCAAAATGAAATAGTAAACAAAAAAAGTATATGATCCGAAGTCGTGGAATCAGGCATAGGATCGCCAATAGAACTGTTTTTGTGCACGGAGTGAATGAAGAAATCCATACTGGTCGAAGTGGGAAGCCGAGAATATTCAAGGAAACTCTTCCGGCTATCCCAGCCTTGTCTTTAGGATGATGAAACTTGCATGTTGCTCCAAATTTGCAAGTTCCAGTCTTCAGATAGTACTGGAAAGCAGTTAAAACATCAGGTTAGTATTTGAAGTTCACATATACAGGGAAAACATAATATTTCACTCCAGCAAGTAAAGTAGGAGTTCGGACCCCCTATCAGAGACTTGGAATGGGTGGTGGGGAGGATGGCAGGGTATATGGTTATCTGAAAACCTTAACGAGACCTAGAAATATGCACTGAACATAACGAAAAACTTTCATGCCATCTCCAAAAGCATGGAACCATCTACAGAAGGAAAGAAGTTGCACATAAAAGTGAGGCAGTTCATATACCTGACACTCAGGCTGTCCGATCCTTTCTGGAAATTCACCTTTCATCCTTGCTGCAGCAATAGCCTAGACAGAAACCGGAAGGTAGTTCAGAGTGTCAATCACACAGGCTACAATGGTTCAAAATGCCACACGAAGTATGAACAATTTTCTTCTTCAATTAATAAAGTCTTCACCACTACCAAAATAAAATACCACATAAAATATGCAAATTTGCAAGGCAAAAAAGGTGCTCCACATGCAACTCTGTATAATGTTCTTATCATGAGTAAGTTTAAGTCCAAGTATAGCACCATCAGTACGAGTAAGCCTTATCATGCAGATCCATGAGTGGGAAAGACAAAAATCTGCTGATCGGGGGAAAAAATGGGCTACACATCAGAGAAGCACAAGATAAACTTGTTTAACTAGTTGGCAAAGGAGGTACAACCTAATCAAACCAATGTTCAAGCTTAGGCTACCTATAATTCATAGACACTGTTCGTTAGTTGGAAAAGGGATGAAGAGGAATGGAGAAAGCCCAATTCTTTACTTATATAAAGCATAACACAGAAAATGTGTGATGGCAAAGAACCTTCTTGAGATGTTAAAAGTTTCAACAGACTTTGCAACTATATCAGAGAGTAAAATGCGAAAGTCCATACCAGCTTTCTGTTAGGAGGATGGTTAAATCGGCAAGTGGCCCCAAATCTACAGAGACCAGTTCTTATATAATAGGAACAATCCGGCTCGCCAGGGCGTTCAGGATATGGCCCGGCTTCCATTGCTTCACTAGATCTCAAGTTAACTTGCCACATTGAATCTGAAATTTCCACCACACAAAGATTGAAACTTTCAGCATCCGGAAATAAAACAAAAAGCCCACCCTATTTAAATGCAAAGAAACAAAGCTAGCCATTTCCCACAACCAGCTAAACACTAGAAACTAGAGAATTCAGACAAATCCATTCCCCAGCTGTAAGAGATCATCCCTTTGAATCAGGAAAACATGAATACTGACTCAAGCTGCAGCGACAACCACGAGTACACGCTGTTCGAGCCCGGAATGCCAAAATGGACAGGACAAAGGGGAGTGTAAACAACTCTTGTCATTGCCAATCAAAGATGTCATGTCCAATACAACTTCTTCAGGGGAAGTTCAGTTGTACTTGGAGCACCGTAACTACCATCAACCAATTTACTATGCAGGGAAAATAAGCAAGACGCAACCACAGCTCTCATGGAACCATTCTTTCTGTGCAATCAGCAGGAAATCCAGGAATTGTGGAAAGAAACAAACGAACGAGACCAAATGGAAGAATAAGATTCATCATATCCGGAGAAAAATAATCAAACAAGATAAAAACAGATAAGAATATAATAATCGAGAATCGGTTCAAGATGCTTGCATAAGAATTCATTTCATCGTGAATCACAACGTTGCAATCAGCACAAAAGAGGCCAAAACAGGCGATTCCCGAGCTTGAAAGCATCAAAAACCCGCCATGAACGAGCGAAACGAACATCTGATTCGAGCAAGCAGCAGTTACCAAACAAGCCAGCAAGCATTAAAATAATAATAACGGGGGAAAGAAAGAAGACGGAAAAACGTGACCCAAACACCACCCTCTCTTTCTCTTTTCTTATTTTATGCCTTTTTCTGACTTTTTCCCCGGCTAAAAGCAGTGATGATCATTCATTCATTTCAGAGCTCGGAATTCATCGCAGCAGCGCGGAAAAAAGGAGGGAGCAGTGGCAGGGGCAGAAACGACAATTCCCGGGAAATTTGGGTATCAGGCAGCGCGACACGTCAGCTGCATTTTTTTTTCCTTCTCACCCACCCAAACAAACAGATACGTACGGAAGGGAGAGAGCGCGCGCATACGCCGACGGCCTTACGACGGAGCTCCGATTGCCATTACTCTGAAATTATTAGAAAGAAAAGAACGGGAAAAAGAAAAGAGGAAGGAAAAGAGACCTTCGTTCAAGGACGGCGAGAGAGAAGTTCCTTCGGCGGTCACAACCGACGAAGACGGAGGAGCGACGACGACAGCTCGGGACATCGGAATTCCGGCGTCAAATTCCATATCGTAGAAGAAGCGAAACCGCGGCGATCTCCTCCCTCCATGAAAAAAACAAAATCAACAAAGAAGCGCGTCGACTCTCCCCGCCGGAACCCCCATTCCCTTCCCCCCTCTCTCTCTTCTCTCCCCTCCCTCAATCAAAATCCTCAACCGTTATTCTTCTTCTTCTTCTTCCGCCCCTCCGACAAACAATCGGAGCGAGAGACAGGCGCACAGAGATTCGGTGAGTGGGGGAGGAAGGAAGAGAGAGAGAGCAGCAGCACCAAATTCCCGCAGTGCAACAGAGGAGGAAATAAATTAGAGAGAGAAAGTTGGGGGAAAAAGAGAGAGGAGGCAGTTTTTTTTTTCCGTTTTAATTTTTTGTTCCCCTCTCCCTCTCTGTGATTGTGCGTTTCTTTTTCGGGTGGGAGAGTCGGGAGAGAGAAAGCGTTGTCCACTCCGCTCCACAGAAACTGATCAAAGAGAAAAGGGAAGGGATGGAAATGGAAGAAGGAAAGGAAAGGAGGATAAAATAAAAAAAGCCAACCATCCGGAGAAGAAAACTACCAGACCAGACACTTGAGACTGTCTATCCCATTCCCCTTCCCTCCACCCACCCCTCATCTCTCCAACCTCACGCGCTTCCTTCCCTCCGTTTTCCCTACTCGCCTCTCCCTACCTTTGCAATGAGCTTGTGACACTATTATCGCTAGCATTGATGAGACGACGGAAGGCACTTCCCACATGTTTTGTCCAAACCAAAGATGAAGAACGAACTTGTTAGAACGGAACGGGAAATCGAACACCGCAAGAAAGTAAAGAGCACATATTTGACGCGGTGCGCGAGCACGATGCATTTTAGCTAGTCCACGAGCATAAGAGACCGATTTTCGCTATAGTTGAGGAAATGCGAGTTGTAGAGATTAAGAAAGTAGCACATACTCAAGAACGGTCTAACCCTAACGCAACCTGAAAAAAGGAAAATAGTTACGGAACATACCGATTACAAGAACAAACACGAATAAGTCCACGCACAATAACCATCATCTTCCTCTCTAGCAAAATTTAGTGAGTTTCGATATCAAGCTCAAATCGAAAACATTTGTACACTTGAAATAGGCTTTGCCGAGATAGCCCCACATCACGGGTCGTATTTCACTCCCAAAGAATTCACGATTGCTGGGACAGAGCAGAAGCTCTGTTATCTAACACACGCCGACATCAGCTGTGGGATTTGCTTTCTCGTTCTGGTCGGTTCAATATTGCAGAATTTTGGAAAACGTTGCAGTTTTTCGGCCGACCAAGCCGATAAGTTAAAAGATCGGCACCCTACGATAAGCTTTCATTCAGCATTTTCAAATTTACTGCGACTGACATGGATTTTACATAACGCAAGTAAAACCAGCTACAACACTCATGTAAGATATATGCTAATTATACAAAAAATAAGAATTAGGATTACAAGTCACTTGAAGTGGTAAGGACAAGGAAACTAGAGCAGAGGAAAACTGCAAGTGAAAGATGCTGCTGTGCTGCTCTTGGCGAGACAAAAAGAATCGAGGATTAGCATACAGTTAGTTATAGAGGTGGGTAGAAATAAGAGGACAAGGAGAAACCCAGGAAGAGCAGCCCTCCAATGGTGGCAACCGTCTTCTGCGAGATCTTGGAAGCCAGCATACTCCCTCCTATAACTGCCACCGATGTGCAGATGGTGTGGCCTATTGTGGCACCAACTGCAACGCCGACTGCATTCTTGTGTGTGGCCAACTGCAAAGTCCGAAACCAGGATAAGCCTTCACATCAAAAGGGGAGCAGGAGAAAGCATCTAAGAGAGATCGATTTTTTTTTTTTAACTTACAGCAATTGTTGCAATCTGGCTACGGTCACCCCACTCGGCTAGGAAGGTCAATATGAATGCCTGCAAGGGTAGAGGAAAAGTGAAGCCAGCCAGTTCAGAAGGTTGTTCAGATGACTCTGTTTATGTCGTTGATTTAGAGCCTCAGCTCCATTGATTGATGCATGGTTTAAGAAAGGAGGATCTCAGACGATAAAAATGCCACAAGTGAAGAGCGTTAAGTAAGGCAATAACCGTACCTCCAGAAATATAGGTGTGCAGAATCTAGAGAAGAAGCGGCGGAAGCTCGTTTTGCCTTGCCCGGATTCAAGTTTTTCTTCTACCTGAATATATGAGATCCCAATTTAACCTAAGAACATAGCAACCAATGACCGATGCAGCGCAAGATATTACATGAAAACAAGAGAACAGTGGAAGTATACGAGTGAGTTTCGGAATCTGAATTAGTCAGAACAATGCAGTACCCTGTGCATTTTAATACAAGCAACAAACTGATAGCAGTCTGTTATAACACCTGGTTTGGCTAAATTTGGCAATCGTACAACTCACAACTATGTAATATTGACAAACTACTTGTATCATAGGATTAGTATGATATTAATATTGGATAGTTAGTTAAGAATCAACTAAATACTATGGACACCACCATAGAACAAGTCAGGAAACTTATTAGACAAACATCCCTCAGATTCTAACACTTCCAACCCCTTGAAAAACTGTTAATTACATCTAAACATACAAGGACCCATACTAGAACCAACAGCTATATAACATGTTTGTACCAGAAGTAATGTGAGCAGGGAAAACACAACTGAAATCAGTATCAAAACAGTAAGTTGGTAGAGAACAAGCAGACATACTTCTTCCATTTCTTTCTTCTGTGATGATTTTGAATCGGATCTCCAGGCAATGTAAAGCAACCGCAATCCAAAGAATAGATACAGAACTATACAGGAAAAGGAATTTCAGTTAGGCTCATACTGACCAACTTTAGAAGAAGAAGAAGAAATAATTAATCCATGCCGTAGATAATTCAGAAACTGATATGGCAAACTAAGACTTGTGCTTCGATGTTACTAAAGCTGGATAATTGTACCTGTAGCTGCACTATTGGTATGCTTCCTTGATATCAAGTTTGGCACAATCCTTCCAAGTCCAGTAGAAAGTACCTAATGGGAAGTTGAATGTAGAATAGCTTTTACGCTTCAGAGTATTGACAATAACAGAAGTGATTTTTTCATTTGCTGGAACCAACGCATTACAGTACGATGCAAATGCACTATTAGACCGTAAATATCAAGAAATAACAAAATCAAAATGACATGCAAAAGAGAGAGAACCAGATAAGGAAACTTACTGTCATAACAAACAATGCTGAAAGCGCCCCAGATAGAACTGTTGACTTTGGGTGGCGCATTGCCATGAGAGCTGCTATGATAAAAGTCTCATCTCCAATCTACAGCCAATCAAAGTGACACTAATCAGAAACCAATCTAGAGACATAATTATAAGACTCAAGAATATGTGAAATAGCATTCCACTCATATTAACGATTCAAGATAGGCAAATGGGTAATGAAACCAGCAATGAGATGTGCATATAACGCGGTCTTTTCAGTCCAGTGCTATCAACGAACTTGCAAAGAGTTACTTGAATCCAAGCCCACAAACCTCACTAACGAGGATCATCGAGAAGCTGGCGAAGAATGCATCAAAAACTCCAAGACCCGTATCCAAAGAAACACCCAAACTAACAGAACTAATGTCGATGTCACTTCCTCCAATCTGCAGCCGCAACACAACCATTTGAACAGTTAAGAACAGGTAACCAACGACTTTCCTCGATACATTGCAACATCATAACTAATACACGTTTTGGCTTTCCTCGTGTCAATGAAACAATAATGGAATCGTTACATATATGATCCACTTCCAAAGACCTTTCTGAAGAACAGCATAAGCAAAAATGACGGGCAGCAACGAAGAGAAACAAGCCACACTCACCATGCCACGCCGGCCAAGACTGTTGTATGCTGATTCATTCGATTCCTCTTTTTCATTGTTCACAGCAGCGTCCTAATTTACAAGCAGAAGGAACAACAAATCGCATCTCGCGAATCAGGCAATTAAAAAGCCAGAGCAAATTCCAAGCAAGCATCGGGAAACATACAATCAAGGCCATGGAATTGAACATCGACGAACCTGAGCAGAGATACAGGAGAGAGACAACAGCACCAATCCGGAAACCAGGAGAATCCTAGGGTTTGAGCGAAACCCCATGATACGAACACAAATTGGTGACGCCGGTGCGTCGGTGGAGACAGATCTGGATCAAGCGAATGAGGGATCGGAAAGGGAGATCGGAATGATGGAAGTGATTCCGATCCAAGAAGAACGGAATCGGGGAAACGAGGCAGAGAGAGATCTTGCTAGGAGCGAAGATATCCCAAAAGAAAGAAGGAAGGAAGGAAGGAGGAACGGTAGACTGGCGCGTCGGCGAGAATTGTGTCTTCCTCTTCCCCCGCCTTCGGGCCCGTGGCTGCGACTGCGAGGTTGCGCTTTATTTTTTTAATTTTTTTCGGGGACCAGAATGAGATTTTTACAGAGCCGCCGTATTTTCTATTTTGGCAATCCAATGCGTCTTAGCCCAGCCCAAATTTTTTAAGATTAGCTAATCCGAAAATTTGGGCCCAGAACTTGGGCCGGTTCAATATTTTCTCTCCAGCCATTCCGAAAGCCACATTGCTTGTTAACACTTCTCGACCAGACGACCACCAGCATTTTCAAACCAGAAGCTCCTTCCGAGAAACAACGGCGAAATCGTTCGAGCATGTTGAGTCGCCGGTAAAATGAAATGGACTTTGCTGAGTAAGTCTCAGTATCCTGCTATACTTACCACATTTCCCCACAAACTCCAATGGCTGCTCCATCTCCAGCTTCGCCAGTATCGAGACCAACCAGTAGCCGGTGGAGAATCCGTCGTCGAGACAAGACCGGAGGTCTTACATGCTCGGGATGTTAAAGGTGGTCCATTTTGCGTCAGTACTGATTCTTCGATCAACTATCTTTTGAGTCTTTACTCGAAGTCGGCAGATTTTACCAACGCACACAAGCTGTTCGATGAAATTCTCGACAGAGACGTGCGCACTTGGACCATTCTGATCTCGGGCATCGCTCGAAATGGAGCGCACAAGGATGTTATGGAACGATTTAGGAGAATGCAACTTGAGGGTGTCACGCCAAATCAATTTACTCTGTCGACCGTTTTGAAGTCCTGCTGTAGCTTGATCGAGCTAAGAACCGGGAAAGGAATTCATGGTTGGATTTTAAGAAATGGGATTGTCTTCGATGTTGTGTTGGCAAATTCAATTCTTGATCTCTACGTCAAATGTGGGGCTTTCAGCTACGCGGAAAGGTTGTTTGGGGTAATGGTGGGGAAAGATACTGTGTCGTGGAATATAATGATTGGTGCCTATTTGTATCTTGGAGATGCAAGCAAGTCTCTTGAATTGTTTGATGGTTTGCAGTCCAAGGATGTTGCAAGTTCGAATACCATTATAGATGGGCTAATAAGATGCGGGTGTGAAAGCATTGCCCTGGAAGTGCTTTATAGGATGGGAGGTAATGGACTTGAATTCAATGCCATAACATTCTCCATAGCGTTGAACTTGGCTTCTAGTTTGTCAGTTTTGCAACTGGGGAAGCAAATTCATGGCAAGGTTCTAAGACGTGGGATTGATGACAGTGGCTTCATAACAAGTTCGCTTATAGATATGTATTGCAAATGTGGGGAGTTGAGATTGGCGGGCATGATATTTCAACAAATGTGCCAGGGTTTCCTCCCTGTAGATGCAATGGCGAGGAGAGTTTCATGGAGTTCAATGGTGTCTGGGTATGTAAAGCAGCGTGAGTACATCTGTGCCTTCAGAACATTTACGTCCATGTTTGAGAAAAATGAAGAGGTGGACATTTATACACTCACAAGCATCATTTCTGCGTGTGCTGATACTGGCAATTTGGAGCTGGGGAGACAGATCGATGCCCATGTTCAGAAAGTTGGGCATAGAGTGGATGCTCATTTAACTTCAGCACTCATCGACATGTACTCTAAATGTGGTTGTTTGAATGATGCTGTAAACAAGTTCAACGAAAGCAATAATGATATGAACGTTGTGATCTGGACTTCTATGATATATGGGTTTGGATTACACGGACGTGGGACGGAAGCTGTTAGACTCTTCGACCTCATGTTAAAAGAGGGTAGCATTGCTCCGAATCTGATTGCATTTCTTGGTGTGTTGAACGCTTGCAGCCATGCTGGGTTGTTTGAAGAAGGTGTCAGATATTTCGAATCAATGCAAAAAGTTTACGGCTTGAAGCCATCTGTTGAACACTATACTTGTATGGTCGATCTCTATGGTCGGGCAGGTCGTTTGGAGGAGGCGAAGAGATTCATTGCTGAATATGACATCTCGCATCTTTCTGCAGTCTGGAAGTCACTTTTGTCATCCTGCAGGCTGCAGAAAAATGCGAAGATGGGAAAATGGGCCTGCGACAGACTGCTCGAACTGGAGCCACTTGATCAAGGTTCTTATGTTCTTTGTTCAAATATTTTCTCTGCTGATGGCCACTGGGAAGAGGCGGCCGAAGCAAGGAGTTTGATGCTCCAGAGAACAGTTGACAAAGTCCCTGGTCAGTCTTGGCTCTAACTGAATCATCCACAGCCACAGTTTTGGTTGGTCTCAGTGTAGTACTTGATCAACGAGAAGGACATGAAATAACATTAACGAGCAGCAGCTAAAAGGTATGTATGTAGGCGAAAAGTGAAAAGCTTTGTTGACAGTTTTTTCCTGTGTATTATTGCTGCCCAGACTGCAGAGGAAGTCTTTTGCATTCATGATTGCCCCTCCTACTAACTGAAAACGCCATTTAATCCTTTTGATTATTACAGATTACATATAATGAGAAGCTTAAAGATGGAGCTTGCTTGGTTTGGATGGGCAAAAGGGGGAGATGTGGGTTTTCCAGCTTGGTAGTGGATCGACCTCAACAAACCCACCATCGATGTCTTCACTGTTTCGCTGTTGAGAAGAAACCAAACATTCTAACGTAAGAAAGTTGGTGGCTTTTTTTTTTTTTGCTTCAACTGAGTAATTAGTGACTCACCATCATTCCTCATTACTAACCTCATACTGCGTGTCAAAAGGTTAGAGAGATCACTTTCTCTCCGATGATGCTCTGTTTTTTGTTGTTTAGCTATCCGATGATGCTCTGTTTTTGTTTGTTTGGTATTTTGGTCTATCATTCTTTTGGCCTTGAGACATCAAGGAAGTGGAGTCTGGTCTGGTCTCCGTCCTCCCACTACCATAACTTCCAACGCACACCAATCCTCGTTTGGTATTTTGAGTCCAAATTAAGTAACCCTTTTACACATGCAGGACAAGGCACAGAAGAAATCAACACAAGGAAGAAGAATGGTGGAGCTGTGTATGAAAGTGGCGCCTTTGTGTACAAGAGAGACAAAGTAAGAAGGTGAAACCAACTAACTCACTTCCCTCGCCTTTAACGAGAATTTCCACGAGGTAAATCTTCTTCCTCCTCCTCAATGTAACCGAGTTGAATTACATTATGTACCAATCAATCATCACTCCCTTGCATCACGAAAGCATAGAAAGGGAAAAAAGGTGCACACGGACAAAGATCTACCCACTTTATATGCTTTCTTTCTTTCTTTCTTTCTTTCATTCTCTTTTTTGGGTGTCTACCGAACAAATCCATACATGTATCTTGGCTTGGTATACAAATCAAATGTGAAATCATAGTGACTTAGCTTGATTACAAAGGCATCCATCCACCATGTCCACCACCACCCGTCACTACTATATAGTCGCCCTCCAACCAACACCTCCGACATTATCCCTATAGCTACTAGCTTGATCTAACAAACCCAGTTACAACCATAGTATGTATGTCTCCCTCAACCACCCTATATAGCTAGTACTAGCATTTGCAATGCCTTCATATATCTCTATCGTCTCTCTCTTTTTCTCGTTCACAGCAACTGCTTGAAAGCTAATGAAGCTATAGTACTGTCTAGCCAACTTATCAGCCAGATCGACAGTACGTCGTAGAACATCCTCAATCATCAATCTGATAAGTTGATTCCTGGTTTCATCGTCTCTCAGTTTCTGTTTTGGGGGCATTCATTCCATATTTCCATAAATAGGCTGATAACATCTCATATCTGGAGGTAGAATGAGAATGAGGCCGGATAGAAGAATGGAGAGGCTGGTGCTGCTGCCATTCACCATGGGATGTGTCTCCGAGTCCAGCGTCGCCCTCGCTCACCACCACCACCACCACCCTACAAGAAGAAGATCATCATCGGCATCGACTGCTGCTGCCCCGACGGCCACCGCTCGCTCACAAAGCAGGAGGAGAGAAATGGACGACGACGAGGAGAGCTTGTCCAGCACCGATAGCAGCGATTCCAAGAGCAGTACGACTTCCTCCTCGACATCTCCTTCTTCCAAGATATCCGCTCGCTTCCATCGGATTCTCAGGACTTTCAAGTCCACCTTCGGTCAGTCACTTTCTTTTATCGTTCATTTTTCAGTAGAACTTGAATCTGTTTAGTAAATACGAAGTGAAGAAACTAACGTTTTGTATAATCGGTGGGATCTTCTGTACGTAGTGTACAAAGAAGAAGATGAGGAAGAAGAGGAGGAAATGGAGATCGGGGTGCCGACGGACGTGAAGCATGTCACCCACATTGGCTGGGACGACGACGTCGGAGCAGCAGCAGCAGCAGTAACATCGGCGACGATCACCACCGCTACGACGACAACAACAACAACACGTGTCAATAACCCAATGAATTTTGAACAACACGATCAGAGCGGCGGCAGCGGCAGTTGGGGCAACAACGACAATCTGATCACCCACAGCCATTACCAACCTCGTCGTCGCCGTGATCTTCAGCAGCTGATGTGTCACCATCATCGTCGTCCTTCTTCTTATGAGGGTGATATCGCCATTGGCGCCCTAGCTGCAGTTGATCCAGTACTCCCCCGCCGGCCGCTTTCCGTCATCTCTCCTTCCTCTGCCTGCACCTGATTCATCGTCGTCATCATGGATCGCCATTCCTCTGCCATATTATCTCAGCATTTCATCATCATTACTTGATATATATATACTCGTTAAGTTTTAGAAAGAAGAATCAGTCATATATGTCCTTACAAATGTGTTATCATTGGGATGTTTTGCATTTTTCCAAACTTTATATATGTACAACTTCACATGTTCTTGTTGTCTAGAGCTCATTCAATTTCGTTTATAGGGTCTAAATATTCAATTCAGTTTATATGTTTTGTAATTAGATTATTTAATTAGTTCCCATATATGCAACTTACACTACATAAGTCAAGAATTCCGATCGTCTAAGTAGAGTGATTTCCCGACAGAGGCTTGTTTGTTGGAATTTCTTTCAACAAGATTTATGACATTAATGTTATGTTTTAAGTATTAAAAGGGTGTCCATCTCGTCTCGTGGCATAAAAATGCTCTCGTATTGATAGTTCGAATTCTGGTTGACTATTATTCTTATCCTATTTTATTTTGTAAATTGCATTATGACTATCTTCGTATCTATTGTTCTGATTCGGAATATTTTTGACAAAAGAAAAACTTATGCTACACTACTACAAGTTGTTCATTGAGAAAGAAAAAAAAAGTCAAAGTTCTGGCACATGGCTAAGTTTTGGGATTATAATTCATTATCTAGACTCCTAGATTTCTATGGAGGTTAATTAGTCATCAAAGTATCGAATATTGGCCTTGAAATTCAACAACAATCAAATAAGATCTTAGTCCGTCCATATATAAAATCGTAGATTATTTTAATAATTTTTGAACATACAAATCTAAATCATTTTATAATGTTCAAAATTACTATTCGAGAGTTTAGTATTGTCAGTCAAAAAATAACGACGCAACGAACAACATCCAACGTTCCAACAAGGTAAATTATTTTTACTCGAGAATGTGAAGAAAAAAAAAACAAAGCCAGTGTGGAACATTGGAATGGGAAAACCACCAATTGCTCAAACCGCAGCCTTCAAATTTTTCTGATTTGTTTATGTTCGTTGAATGTTGAACAGGTAACCCCTCATCCAAGGAAAGCAAACCGAAGCACACGTGGCGACATCGTAACGGACCGATAGAACATTCTAATCGTACGAACTGAAATTGTTTAACGCCCATCGTTCTAGACTCTTACTTACGACGACTAATTCAATTCCACCACCCCCTAATCCAAATCCAATTTCTCGTTGACGATAAAATGAAAGCAGTTTTCCCTCCTTCTCGCCGGTTTCCCTCTCCCCCCCGGTTTCGCCTCTCTTCTTCGTTATCCACTTGCTTTATTGATTTTCCTATAAATCACAAATTTTATTTTTCCCTGGAAATTCAGAGCAAAAGAAAATTAATTGGATTCCGAAAGGTTTTCGGGGAACCGGAGTTTCACATTTCTCTACTGAATCTGCAATTCCGCCGCCGAGAATTGAGAGAGACAAGAGAGCCCTGCCGGCAGTTGTGTCCGATTCAGGTAAGGAATCCAGTTTTCCCCCAAGCGGGATTCCGGCGCCAACGCGACTCTCCTTCCCTCACTCTTTCACTCCATTTCCCCGCCGTTAAAACTCTTTTTCTTTTTTCCTGTCCTCTCGCCAGAAAAAAAAAAAAAAACTCTTTTTCTGATTTGCCGTTTGTTTGTCCGTTGTAGAAGGAAAAGAACGGAATAAAAACCCCTTCCCTGGAAAGGAAGAGGTCTCTGGATTTTCTTCAATCGAAGAAAACCAGGGGGGAAGAAGAAACAGAAGGAGGAGGGAGAGGGAGGGAGGGCGGAATGGGTTTGGTAATTGTTGAAGCGGAGAATGGCCTCGCCGCCGACGGTGGTGTTTTGAGCAATCTGGTCCCGCCGACGAATTTCTCGATGGTGGACGACGGCATTTTCAGATCTGGTCTCCCTGACGCTTCCAATTTCCGATTCCTCGAAACCCTAAATCTCCGCTCCATCATGTAAGTAGTGTGATCTTTTCCCCCTTTTATCTGTCTGTGATTATTCGCTAATGGAGGGCCTGAAAAACGGCGAGGAAGAAAGGTAAGGGGGGAAAAGATCGGCTCTTTCTAATGGTTAATGGAGCGAATAGCTTGCTTTGATTGATCATTAATGTCCTGAGGCCGTGTTTGGGATTTGTTAGGTTGCTGAGAAAATTTGGTTTGGATTCCTTCTTGCTGAGAAACTTGATGATCTCAATTACTAGAAAATGCCCATTTGTTGACTTCTTGGAATGATTCCCATGTCTTCGTTTCCAGATACTTGTGCCCTGACCCGTACCCGCAGGAGAATGCAGAATTTCTCGCGGCTAATAACATCAAACTATTCCAGTTCGGAATCAACGGGAAGACGGTAATCAAGTTTCGCCTTTCCTTCAACCCTCCTCTTCCACCATTGATGATTCCATTGCTTCATAATCATAACCTTTTTCTCCATCAATTTTCAGGAGCCTCCTGTCCCTATGCCTGAGGGAACCATCATTGAAGCTTTGAAAATCTTAATGGGTACGTACCCTACTCACTCCTTCCTCCAGTATGTAACCTTCTGTCTTCACTGTGAAAAGTGCATTACCCTAATAGGGTTCGTTTGTTCTTTCTTTTCAGATGTAAGGAACCATCCCGTTTTGATTCATTGCAACCGAGGGAAGGCAAGTATTCTTATAAAGCTCTTGACTTTCCAAAGGTGGTGCCTTATTCATATCCTCTCCAACATTAGTCACTAACCTAAAATTATCCCGGTCTTGTTTTGCTCTTTTGATTGCAGCATCGCACTGGTTGTCTTGTGGGCTGCTTCAGGAAGCTGCAGAACTGGTGTTTGTCCTCGGTCAAGGACGAGTACCGACATTTCGCTGGCGTGAAGTCGAGGACGACCGATCTGTGCTTCTTGGAGAGCTTCAACGCGGTGAGCCTAAGGCAGTGTCTGTACCGTATCATCTTCCAGTACCATGCGTACAGCTCCAAGAGGCGCTTGCTATACAGAGAAGAGAGTGTACAGAAACCCCAAATCAAGTCCATGTAAAAGCTCAAGGCGAAGGGCCATGGCTTTTGAGAAACCATACCCCCATTTTTCCACACTTCTTTGTACGATTCATTTTCCTTTTTTCGAATGGATTCCAGGAACCTTGGTTTTAGTTTGGTTCCCCGCCTGAGAGTTCCACTGGATAGTTTTAGTTCTGACAAAGTAAAGAAGCATTTTACAACATACTTTTGTTTTTGTGTTCCCATCCTTTTGCCCTGGAACTGTTTGTTGATCTTCTTCGTTGAGGCAGGGACTTACTGTTTGAGCCTAGAAAGTGCCAGGCGGTTTCGATGAGGTCAGCGAGAAATCCACTAACTCCTTAAGACGAGGGGGAATCCTTCAGTTTGAGAGCTTCCGTCTCCTGCAAGAAAAGGTCCCGAGGCGGAGCCCGGGGACGCTCTCCAATGCTTAAATGAGTATTCTGGGGAATGGTAAGTAGAAATCAGACGAGTAATTAGAGAGAGAGAGAGTGAAATGTAGAGAGAAGAAAGGTTTACTAGAGAGAGAGAGAGTGAGTGAAAATGGCCCCCCTCTTAAATGTGGCGGTTATCTCTTATTTATAGCTCGTTCTGACACCCTGTCAGACTTCGACTCCTCGTACTCGTTCCCCGAGGTACGCCCGCGACGTCTTTTAGGGCCTCGTCACCACTTGGGCCCTCACTAGCCGTTCCTTCGTGAATGGCCGAATTAGGCGCTGGACCTTCCCTCGGCCTTTTCCTATTTGGGCCCTAGACACTCATGGGCCTTGATTTAGAGGGTGATCCCTTTTGGCCCAACATTTGTCCCGCAGGCGGGTAAAGCCCCCGGATTTGGGCGGCTGGTTTCTTGTTCTCATGGCGGGACCACCCTCTAAATCAAGGACCCGCCTCAGGTAAGCCTCCCCCCGGGCGTCCAATCGGGGGCAAAACCGCCCTGTGGCCATCCTGTCCTTTCGCCACGTGTCGGACGACACGAGTTTTCACGGACCCCGGGGTCCTCGCTGATATGATTACGCTATATAGCCCTTCTCTAGGGTTAGCGAACCGTCGCTTCTGGAAATCGCGCCCTCATTTAAAAGTCTCTCAGAGAATCATCTGAAGGTATTTTTCTCTCTTCTCCCTTGTTTGATGCTCTGATCCTCTCGTTTTTCAGTCGGTTATTCTTCCATCTCCCCCGTTCATCGTCGCCATTGTTGCAGCCAATCTTGCTCCTTCTCAACTACTTCTCGACCGCATTTGCCTGGTGATTGTGATAATGACCGGAGAAGATCGATCGTCGCTCCCCCTGCCCTCTGCTGGCTCTGGATCCTCTCCCGGCCGGCGAAAGGGCGGCGCCGGCGCCGTCGTTGCCGATCCCGTTCCCGCCGATAATGCCGCCGCCGCCGCCGCGTCGGCAACCCCAATTTTGGCTATCAACCTGGAGTCATCGGACACGGTGACGGACCCAATAACCGCCGCTGCTCAAGGTATGCTTCCCTTGAACGATTTATCGCACTTTAGTACGTTCGGTCTTGACTGGGATTTTAGTGGGGTAGATTTTGATTTCGGTGGGTCTTGGTCCGACGATGGTCGATATTTGTTGGGTAGATTTGAGGATGGGTCATATGAATTGACCGATGTTGCTTTGGGTGTGAGCGTAGAAAATGTAGCACCTAGGGGAGACGCTTCCGCCATGGGGGATAACTTGGCAAGTTTTGATGACGTCTCCATAGCGAGCGTGAGTTCTGATGAAGAGAGTGTCGATGAACAAAATTCTCGTGAGCGGGCTTCCTCCTCTTCCATTGATCTTTCGGAGGATTCGTCGGACCAGAGTTATCCAGCAGTGGCGGATAACACCTACCACATACGCCTGCATGAGCATATGTGGGGAAAACGGGAAGTCCCCGCTCGCGCATTCGACCGAGGACCTGACAGATACAGCAAACTGACGCCTACCACGGTCTTAACCCGCCTTAGGAACCATCAGCTTCCTGCTGATTGGAAGTATGCCGCCCCCTCTCCGACCTCGCGAGCCGGCACCTGCCCGAAGGGATGGATCACCATATATACAGAGCAGCTCAAGTTGGGTTTGCGCTTCCCCCTTGATCCCCTGATCACTCAGACGCTTCTGTGCTTGAACTGTACACTTGGTCGGTTGTCGCCCACCATTATTTTCCACGCCTGCGCTTACAAGTTGGCGTGCAAGCGGCTCGGCGTCGAACCATCCTTTGCCGCCTTTCGTTTTATATACGGCCTTAGGCGTGTTTCCAACGTCTGGTCATTCGGTAGGCGGGATAAAGCATATGGTTTTGTAACCGGAACCCCCAAACTTGACAAGGCCTGGTTTAAAGACTTCTTCTATGCCAAGCCCACTTCCCAATGGTATTCGGGTGACAAGGAGCCTCGCACGGGTTACGCCTACGGTCGAAAGGAGAACTGGGACGCCAAGTTTTGGACATTGGACTCGCAAAGGGATCACGCCGCCCGACTTGCTGACTTCTCTCCCTTTAACTTGAAGCTGGGGGGGAACGATTCTGTGAGGTCAATACTGGTTGAGCTCTTTGGAGATGGTCAGTAGCATCATAGTCACGCCTTCCATTTATATCTTGACTTTGTATTCTTTTTTTTCCTGACTCTTTTCTTTGCAGCCATGCACTTTGGAAATGTGGCGATGATGGCGAGGCCTCCAAGGCGGGGAAAACTTGTTGCTTCCAAGACCGGACCTCTTGCCAGCGGCTCTGCGCCTCCAAAGGCGATTGTCCCACTGAGTAAGCCTCCCACACCTGTTGTGCAAACCACGCTGGCAAGCGGCGCGGGCGGGTTAATGACCGTGCAAGCTAGCTCTGAACCAGGCCGCAAAACTCGAGATTCGGGGAAGCGGGTTGCTGAAGGTCCTGCGGGTGAGCCCGACGATGGCCGCAAGAAATCGAAGGCGACATCGTTGACCGAGACCGTGGACTTCTCTCCTTACTCCTCCCTGCGAGAGGATTGTGCTCGCCGTATGCTTCATGAATTATCCGGTAAGCTCCTCGTCCCGCCCGAATACACGGAGGTGGAAGATCCTTCCAGCAGGCACTGGGTGGGAACCGCTGCCCGTTTCCTTCTTGCGGTAAGTACATTTTTACTTCGATTTTTTTTTTCGCTCTTATCCTCTTTCGTAGTAGCCGCGACGGAAAATTAAGTTGCATGCAGGCTGGCGTTGGTTTGTCCCAAATTGGGATGACCAATGAGAAGCTCCATATGGCGAGTTTGCGCGGGGAGGTGGAGGCGGAGAAGCTGCGGAAAAGGATCGGAGAGTTGGAGGCGGACTCTATCAAGGGGCGCACTGCATTGCGAGCGGAGGTGAAGGCTGAGTTGGAGAAGGAGTTTGCTGCAACCACCAAGGAACTCCGTGCGGAGCTATCTCGCGGAATCCAAAAGGTGAACAGTCTGATGGCCGACAAGGAGGGATTGGAGGCGGAAGTAACCCGCTTGCGTGAGCGTGTGGGCGAATTGGAGAAGGACCGAACAGAAAGCGTGCTCAGGCACCAAACTGAAGTTGAACTTGCAGCCAAGTCAGCTGTGGCGTCCTATCTGCTATCTCCCGCCTTCCGCAAGATCGACGACGCCAAGCGCTCCAAGGCGATATCTGATACGGTTGCTGCCATCCGCCATCTGTTCCGCCGTGAGCACCCATATCTGGCGTGGGATACAGACGCCGTGTGGGATGCGGTGGTGGACTGGGGAAAGGCTGAAGGTGACGTCAATTCTGAGGGGGTGGTCGGCTCGGAGGATGCGGGGAATGAGGATGCGAACTCCCGTGGCGTAGATAACTCTTAAGCTATTCTGTTTAACCTTTTTTTTTTTTTGGGTCGAGTATGTCCTCGACCTTGAACAATCGTCTGTATTAAGTACTTTTCAGTTTCCTTGACAATGGCTGCTCTCATGCGGCCTCTTCGCTTTTCATAATTCTTCCTTTCCCTTTTATCGAATGTCGTTATGCTGTCCTTTTATTTCCACCTATTTTGTGGGGCGTCATGGCGGTGTATTCTGATTTGCATGCGTACGTGCCCTTCTTGGTGGCGGATAAAAGCGAGTCCGCCCCCCTGCAAGGTGTTATACTGCTTCGTGGTAGCATTTATGGATAACCCATGTCCGGGATGCGTTATGTGGGACTCCGCTCTGCCTTTGCGGTGGCGTGTTATGAGCGAGTCCTCGCCCCTCAGGGCGGGCCGCGGGCGGGTTATTCTGCTTCGTGGTAGAGTTTATGAATAACCCATGTCCCGGGACGCGTTATGTGGGATCTCGCTCTGCCTTCGCGGTGGCGTGTTATGAGCGAGTCCGCACCCCTCAGGGCGGGCCGCGGGCGGGTTATTCTGCTTCGTGGTAGCGTTTATGAATAACCCATGTCCCGGGACGCGTTATGTGGGATCTCGCTCTGCCTTCGTGGTAGCGTGTTATGAGCGAGTCCGCGCCCCTCAGGGCGGGCCGCGGGCGGGTTATTCTGCTTCGTGGTAGCGTGTATGAATAACCCATGTCCCGGGACGCGTTATGTGGGATCTCGCTCTGCCTTCGTGGTGGCGTGTTATGAGCGAGTCCGCGCCCCTCAGGGCGGGCCGCGGGCGGGTTATTCTGCTTCGTGGTAGCGTTTATGAATAACCCATGTCCCGGGACGCGTTATGTGGGATCTCGCTCTGCCTTCGTGGTGGCGTGTTATGAGCGAGTCCGCACCCCTCAGGGCGGGCCGCGGGCGGGTTATTCTGCTTCGTGGTAGCGTTTATGAATAACCCATGTCCCGGGACGCGTTATGTGGGATCTCGCTCTGCCTTCGTGGTGGCGTGTTATGAGCGAGTCCGCGCCCCTCAGGGCGGGCCGCGGGCGGGTTATTCTGCTTCGTGGTAGCGTGTATGAATAACCCATGTCCCGGGACGCGTTATGTGGGATCTCGCTCTGCCTTCGTGGTGGCGTGTTATGAGCGAGTCCGCGCCCCTCAGGGCGGGCCGCGGGCGGGTTATTCTGCTTCGTGGTAGCGTTTATGAATAACCCATGTCCCGGGACGCGTTATGTGGGATCTCGCTCTGCCTTCGTGGTGGCGTGTTATGAGCGAGTCCGCGCCCCTCAGGGCGGGCCGCGGGCGGGTTATTCTGCTTCGTGGTAGCGTTTATGAATAACCCATGTCCCGGGACGCGTTATGTGGGATCTCGCTCTGCCCTCGTGGTGGCGTGTTATGAGCGTATTTGTGGGGGTGGAAAGCTGAGAAGTCGTTTGCATTGAAAATTTCCCAAAAGAGAGTTACACTTTACTCCGTTGAACAATATTTGCGCAAGTGCAGCGCATTCCAAGTCTTGCTTATAGCTTCTCCGCCCATGGTTGCGAGTTTGTAAGTACTCGGGCCAATCTTGTCGCTTATCAGGTATGGACCCTCCCAATTCGCCGCTAGCTTCCCATGTCTTTCCTTCTCTCTTTTCTCGAACATTCTTTTGAGCACCATATCTCCTTCTTCCAGGGGTCGAGAGCGGACCTTGGTATTGTATGCCTTCGCCACCTTTTCCTTCTCGGTCACTATGCGCGCCAAAGCCGTTTCCCGTCTTACTTCCGTCATATTTAGTTGGTGTAGGAGATTGGCATGATTGTCGTCCGGGTTGTAAGCTCGGATGCGGAGCGTTGGAAACTGCACCTCTGTCGGGACGACCGCTTCGCATCCGTATGTGAGAGCGAACGGTGTTTCCCCCGTCGCAGTTTTGTGAGTGGTTCTATGAGCCCACAGGATATGAGGCAGTTCCGTCGTCCATGCGCCCTTTGCTTCACCCAGTCTTCGCTTTAAGCCTCGCAAGATCAGCTTGTTAGATGACTCTACTTGTCCGTTTGCTTGCGGGAACGCTACCGAAGCCAGGCTGAGCGTTATTCCATGCTCTTGGCAGAACTTCTCAAACGGGCGGCAATCGAACTGTGCTCCATGATCAGTGACGATCGTTTCAGGGACTCCGAAGCGTATCAGGATGTTGTTGAAGAGGAACTTCTGTATTTTGGCGCTGGTGATCGTCTCCAGGGGTTCTGCCTCTATCCACTTGGTAAAGTAGTCGACGGCTACCACCAAGTACTTCTTTCCAAGCGGGGCATTTGGGAAAGGCCCCAGTAGGTCTAGTCCCCATTTTGCAAAAGGCCATGGGCTAACGATCCCCTTCATTTCGGAGGCGGGGGCGTGATGTTTGTCCGCATGTGCTTGGCAGGCGTGACATTCTCGCACCATTTTCAGTGCGTCTTTCTTAACTGTGGGCCAATAGTATCCCTGTAGGAGCACGGCTCTTTCTAGGCTCCTCGGCCCGAGGTGAGTAGCGCATGTTCCCATGTGTATCGTCTTCAAGGCCTCCTCCGATTCGTCGCTCCCCAGGCACTTCAAGTATGCTCCCGTGAAGGAGCGTTTAAACAACTCTCCTCCCACCATGGTGTATCGTGCGGCTTTTCGCCGTAAGGCTTTGGCCGCCACCACGTCGCCCGGAACTTCATCTTTTTCGAGAAAGCCCAGAAGTTGACTTCTCCAATCCTGACAATTGCCGCTTTCCGCATTTGTTATGACAACTACCTCTTTCATTACCGTGACTTGTCTTTCACCTTCAAAGTCCATTGCGGTGGCCAGCTTGGACAACGCGTCTGCGTGCGCGTTCCCTTCCCGCCTTATGTGTTCCAACGTCCATTCCGCCATCTGTGCCAGTTCTCCTTGAGCCTTTCCAGCCAGCCTTGCCAACTCCTCCTCTTTGATCTCGAAGTTTCCATTGATCTGACCCACAACCAGTGATGAGTCGGAGTAAATTTTTATCTTCTTGGCTCCCATTCCTGTGATTAGCTTTATTCCGTTTATTAACGCTTCATATTCGGCCACGTTGTTAGTCTTTAGCGCGTTAAAACGCATAGCCACCTCGTGGACCACTCCATCGGGTGTTTCTATGACGATTCCCGCTCCTGCCCCTTTCTTTCCTGCCGCTCCATCTACCAACAACTTCCACGCCTCGTCCTCTTTATCAGTTCCCCCATCAGTGGTAAAGCCTTCAACAACGAAATCGGCTAGAACTTGGGCCTTTATTGCTGGCCTGGGAGCGTAGGAGATGTCGTGCTCACTTAGCTCCACCGCCCATTTCGTCATTCTTCCGGAGGCGTCCATCCCTTGTAGGATTTTCTTGAGTGGCAGGTTGGACAAAACCGTTATAGGGTGCCCCTGAAAGTAAGGTCGCAACTTCCGCGCCGTCATTGCCACCGCGAGAACCGCCTTTTCAACCACCAAATACCTTGTTTCTGCCGGAAGTAGCGCTTTGCTCACGTAGTATATAGGTTCGTCCTTGCCGTCTTCCGCCCTTCTTACAAGCACCGAACTTACCGCCTGATGGGATACCGCCAGGTACAGGAACAAACGCTCCCCGTTAATTGGAGCACTCAGCACGGGAGGCGACGTAAGTTGTTCTTTGAGGCGCCTGAAAGCCTCATCGCATTCCTCGCTCCATTTGAACTGAGTGGTTGACTTTTTTAGGACCTGAAAAAATGGGGAGCATTTGTCTGCGGAGCGGGGTATGAACCGGCTGAGGGCTGCCATCTTTCCGTTGAAAGCTTGTATCTCCTTGATCGTCTTCGGGGCCTTGAGTTGTAGTATTGCCTCGATCTGTTTCGGATTGGCTTCAATTCCTCGCCTCGTGATCAGGAACCCCAGGAACTTTCCCGCTTCCGCGCCAAACACGCATTTGGTAGGATTTAGGCGCAGCCCGTGTTTCCGCATATTCGTGAACGTCTCTCTTAAGTCCTGTAAGTGGGTTCCCGCCTCTTTGCTCTTCACCAGCACGTCATCCACGTAGGCCTCTACGTTCCGCCCTATCTGGTTGCGTAATACCGCATCCACCATCCTTTGGTATGTCGCACCCGCATTCTTCAGGCCGAAAGGCATGACTACCCAGCAATAGTTCCCGGTGGCTGTCATAAAGGCGGTTTTTTCTTGATCTTCTTCTGCAAGGCTAATTTGGTGATAACCCGAAAACATGTCCAGGAAGCTTAACATGGAGTGATTGGCTGTGGCATCGATGAGTCGGTCAATCCTTGGGAGGGGATAAGCGTCTTTGGGGCACGCGCTATTCAAGCTAGTGAAGTCGACGCACATGCGCCATAGTCCTGAGCTCTTCTTTACGAAAACCGGGTTGGCCAACCAGGTGGGATACCGAACCTCCTTAATGAAACCCGCCTTGAGGAGTTTTTGAATTTCCTCTTCCAATGCCATCTGCTTCTCGACAGATATGTTTCTTCGCTTCTGTTTTATTGGTCGTGCGTTCGGCTTCACTGCGAGGTGGTGCTCTGCGAGTTCGCGTGGCACACCCGGCATATCTTCCGGTCCCCAG